CGAAACTTAAGCTTAAAACTAGCCGTGATCAAAAAATATTTACTTACAAATAACATTTAAAATTAAAATCTCAAGGAGTTCGGTTCACGATACTGGATACGGTACGTCATATTACGCCAAGTCGGTGTATTTCAGGTGAGTTTAACAGCGAGCATTTTGATAGCTTATTCACTGAATCAGCTATTGTTCCAGTAAACGTAGGTTCATTTTGCGTTGTAAAATGATAATTTATATGATATAATACGTAATGGGAAGCGAAGCTTAGTTGCCATGGCGCCAAAGGTTCAGTGTCACACCGGCGGGTTCATATTGCAAGATAATCTACGACTCGGAAACAGAGCCCTACCTACCTAACCTACAAAACCTATCTAATCCTGCAATCTATACAAATAAATAAAATTGAAGTGTCTGTTTGTAATGTCAAAATAACAGCTTTTTACTAAATACATATGAAATTATATACGATACTGATAACAAAAACACTATTTTTTAAATTGTTGTCTGTCTGTCTTTCTGTCTGTCTGTTTGTTCCGGCTAATCCCCGAAACGGCTGGACCGATTTTGATGGGACTTTCACTCGCAGATAGCTGATGTTATAAGGAGTAACTTAGGCTACTTATATTTTAGAAAACGAATTATGGTTCCGCACAACATAATTAAAACCCTAAATTACCTACACGCGGGCGAAGTCGCGAGGATCAGCTAGTATATGATAAATGCATATTGTATATTTTCGAACATTGATATGTTACCGACACTTTTTACGATAACATACTTTCGAAATCAGCCAGAATACTATAACACATAACATTTAAATTTAAATGCAACAAATTGTTAACCGATAATGCGCCTAAGTACGAGAAAACGTTCAAGAACCCCATAAATATCTAAGTGCGTGCCTTCGCAGATGAATTTGTGTAAACATGGACATTATTTAAACTGCATATGATCACGTTTCAGAACGATCTTAGTACGTCTTGGCGGCTCTCCCAAGCCTCTAAACATCCACGGATAAGTAGTTGAACCTGTGTAATAGCGCGCATATGCTAAATCAGTTGCTTATCTGACTTTGTGGGGAGTAGAGACAGTTTGTGAGGAGTAGTACTTTATGGGGAGTAGAGACATATGTATAATACACATATGTCTCTACTCCCTAAGAATTTGATTTCCATGTTAATTAATATTTTTTTGTACTTTACAGTCCTTTCATAATAATAAGATCTTTAAAAACTTAACAAAAAAAAAACATTTTTTTACTATGAGTGTGAACTTTGCCGAAAACCGCCAATCGAAAATTTTAACAATCAATATCTCAGAGGGAAAATTGATTATCAAATTTTTCTAATCCAGGCTGTCTGTTTTTTACAATTATTTAAAAAATATGCCGAATAAGTCTTCGCTTTTTTTCGATTTCTCAAAAGTTGTTCATTATATATTTTTTCACTGTTACATAAATTATCCAAGTCTAAAACACCGTAATTTATCAAATAAATTAACCGAAACCAGAAAAAAATTATCTATGTTAATTTTAGTGAAGATAGTCCGTTGTTTTTCATTAGTCTAATAATTGCTAATATAAAAAAATCGAGTTGGTAACATTGTCCCCAGATGTAAAATATCCTACGGGGCGCATTGTCGAAGGTTCTTTGTCGAGTGTTCTTGTACTTCTTTCTTTCTATCTTTTTGTTTTTTTATTTTTCTTTATAAAAGAAAGTTACCATCACACTAGGATTTCTCAGGAGAATGTTTCATGGAGGCAGTTTACAAACATAAATTGCACAAGGACAAACATCCAGACACGGAAAAATTATTTGCAGGCCATACAAACACTTGATCCGTGCGAGTTTCGAACCCGCGGCCCATTTTACGTGGTGGAGCCATGCTGCAGCTATATTAGTAGTATAGTTGTAGCATGAATTGGTCGGCTCGACCGGGGAAGGACCACGCTCTCACAGAATACCAGCGTCAAATAGCAGCTTAACGCTGCTGTGTTTCGTATGGTGAGTGCAGAGAACCGGAGACCCTTTTTACTGAAAATGAGGCATTCCATCTTACTCCTCACGGGTGACAACGCATCTGCATTTTGATTTGTAATACAGGATAGACGTAGATGTCTATGGGTTGCAGCAACCACTTACCATTAGGTGGACTGTGTGCTCGTTTGTCACCCTTATCCTATAAAAAAAAACAGCGCAGCAACTCATTGCTAACAACTGCCCCACAGAGCCTTCTGGTAATACGATCACAAATCGGCTTGCCGAACGGGGCTATTATAATAAATTGTACAGCCTATGTAAAATAGTTAACTGGTATTAGTTGATACATAAGATTCATTTAGTAGTGTATATTTCATGAAAGTAAATTCTTTCTTAACTTTTTATTTTTTCAAAACTTAATCCAAGGTCCCGTTTATACACTTGCGGATCCATTTGTTTCCTGATTCTTTAAAACTATATATGGCTGCAGCGTGGCTCTACAACGTCTAAATGTGCTTTGTAGTCGATAACTGCAGTATCTAAAATTCAGATGTCATTAGATATAGTCGACATGGTCAAAATTGGTTTAAAAAGTAATTTACTATATTTCAAACCGAATTGTTCGATACTCAGGCAACGGTTACCATACGTTAAATCTGATGTGCCAAGATTTATGTACATAGTCGAATGACGATTTACTAAAAATACATTCAGTCAACACTTTAAGTACAGGGAATCTAAATGATTTATGTAATTCTCGAACAGCATTTACGTCGGAAGATTTAATAGCGATCATACATATACTCGTGGTTTGTACATACGAAATTTGTGTTGAAATAGTCTTTCCGGCTGTTAGGGTAAACCGCTAATCAGTAAGAAATTTTAGATGTAGGTAGCGAGCTGGTAAATACTGGGGATAGTTATTAATAATAGGCGATTGTCTATAGCATCCACGTGTAAGCATGTAGATACCAAGTGTATGATTTCAAGTTCGGTCTCATTGTCGCTTGGGTAGTGCGTAAGTTGGCGCCTATAACAACGCATACAGCAGCACTAATTTGTTAAAGCATAGTGATGTTCCTTTATGACGTTATTTAATTTTTTTTAAAGGCATGGGCATTAAGTATAATATAGTAGGCGTTCTGTGCAATAAAAAAAAATTATGTTGTTTTTTAATAAAAATACGTAATAATGACGCTGGTGAGTAATAATTTATTACATGCACATTTCATTTTTATTTTGGCGATATTAACACGATACATTTCTTATAACTATCGATACTTAGTTTTAGTTTAAATTGTTATTTATACATAAGAGAGAGAGAGAGAAATCTTTAAACAAAGAAGCAGTTATCTTTATTGACATAGTGATAGCGATAAACGATAGGACTACTGAATGTTCACCTTAGTTGTATTCACAAGAACCTACGAACGAACCATTCGAACACATATTTTCGTGGATAAAATTACTATTGTACCTTATAAATTGTGATATAGTGAATCTGTGATATTGAAAGACTGATGTTTTATACATACACGTAGGTATGAGCCTAATTATAGGATTTCTGCTGCATTTGTTTTTCACTCCCGACGCAAAAAGAGAGGTGTTATAAGTTAAGAAGACTGTTATGTGTGGCTGCTTGTCTGTCTGTCCGTGGCACAGTAGCTCTTAAACGGGTAAACCGACTTGGGTGCGTTTTTAAAATTTAAAACCAGGTTTTCTAATAGTGGCAAAATCATTTCAGCCGTTTGAAGATCATCAGCTCTTTTTGTTTCGGATATTTTCAATTTAAGTTATTATTTTTGTTATACAGATATTTATTCCTCTATTTTATAATTTCACAAAGGTATTATGGTGATTAGTTATAATTATGGAACAATTAAAATATTTAGAATTATTGATATTTTTAATTTTAAGGGTTTCTTCTTTAATTATAATTACCTACTACATTTGCCAGTTTCAAATAAATAAAAAAAAAAGATTGTTTATAACAAATTTCTTTACAAATTCTTTGCAATATGTTGATGGTTAACATTGCATAGTTTTTGCCGAGGAGATAGTTAATGATAAGACTAGTTTTAATTGCGTATTTTAGCCATCTGCGGCTGTGCAGAACAGGATTATAGTGCTCAAGTGTGTGCGCAAGCAATAAATAAATATTGCACCTGGCACTATTTATTTCCTTATTAGGACGGCAATCTGACGCGACCGAAAAGAGATTTAAAGGGACTAAAGGCTTTGATTTTTATTTTTGAGCAAACACCACAAATTTTTCTGACTGCGGACTGCTACCGAATATTTCTTGACAGAGAAATCCAATGTCTGATTTACGGCCCGACTCGGGATTAGAACCCGACCACACTAGCAGCAGTCGCGCCTACTCCCACTAGTCCAACGAGACAGTCGACGTAACGTTAAAATTATATCTACTGTATAACTCTTAAAGTTCTGCGTTAGTTTTAAAAACGTTCAATCCGCCTTTCGAACTACTACCACAGAATAAATAAGTACTACTACTGTGAACCATCTCATAATACAAGCATTTTCTGTCGACTTCCAAAAAGGAAACGGTACTCGATTCGACTGTATGTTTTTTTTTATGTGTGTTACCTCATAACTTTTTACTGGGTGAACCGATTTCGATGATTCTGAAAGCTGGTACTTCTCGTGTGGTCCCATATGAATTTGATCAAGATCAGACCAATAGTTTTTGAGTTATTCTTAATAACTTATATTGAAGTCGGCTGTACAAAATTTTTAATTTTTAATTATATGCTTAGCTGCAATGGTTATCTTTAGGCAATAAATATTACTCATGTTAACATTTCGAGTTTAATTTTATTATTATAGTTTTTAATATTGTGTATAATAAAATATTGTATATTATACTTTAATTTTACAAGACAAAAGAAAGCAGCCGTTTCGGTATCGAAACTATGTATATTTATAATTTAAAATTATTATTTTTTTTCGGATCGCTAGTTGAAATAAATTTGGATTTCATTTTATTTATTTTTGTTTTAGGGTTACAAAAGAGAATATAACTTCAATCAGGTGTGACAACCCTGCTTTAGTTACGAAGAATCCAATGCTGTCTCCGAGGCCAGTTGTCGGTGCATCGTCAGCAGAACCGTGAACACTGGCAAACCACTCACCAGTTTGATGGTTGCTCTCCCACTGGAGAAAATAGTTTACACGCACTGTCACTTCATTGTTATTAAATTCCTCAATATCTTCTTCATCTTATAAATCTATAATATTCATTTATTTTATCATAAATTAAACGATATGAGCAAAATGTTGAAAGTAGTCGGCGCCTCCTGGCTCCAGACGAAAATAAGTTCGTACATACTGGGATTTCTTGGCGTCTTGGCCATCTTAGCGCTATTTGCCGGACAAATGGAGAGGTGAGTGTTATAGCTTTTTGAAATTATTTATATGTTATTTTCTTAGCATATGTATTATCTTTGTTCATTATTAAGATGACTTCTAAGTAAATATTTTTTACAATTGCGATTTATAATGATGTTTTCTTTTTCGATTCCAACCGCTGGGTCATGTACTGGATAAAATTTAAAATAGTCAAGTGTGTGTGATTTTATAATTAATATAATTATGCACATATTTTATAATTCTCTTATTAAGAGTCTCAGCCTACCATAAATTATTTACGTTGATGCAATAATTAATAATTTATTGCATCCACAACAAGAAAGTTATTTGAAAAAAAAAAAACTTTTTTCGAAATTTTTCATTAACCGATTTTGATGCAGTTTGCAGTAATGCACGACGTTTATTGAGTTTAAGAGCTGATTGGATTTTGAAATTGATCGTTACTTCTGTTTAAAAGTTATTTCAAATATTTTTTTATAATTTTATTTTTGCGATTTTTTTAAAACCTGCCGGTCCGAATCGGTTCAAATGGTATAGAAAATCTAAGTTTGGTGAAGCTCTTTCGAACGCCGCCAAGTTCGTTCAAATCGTTCAAGCCATTCAAAAGTTACTATCCATACAGACACACATACATACAGACATAGTGACATCCTCGTAGGATATATATAGATAGGTCAGAATACGACCACAAAACGTCGAGATCGGATAAAACCTCGTTTTTAGAAATTTGGAGTAATACCAATAACTTCCCGATTTTTTGAAAAACATTGATTTTCATAACGGGAAGTTATATATTAGAGTGCAATTGATTTTATAATATTATAGAAGTGTGAAACGATAAAAATATAGGCTGACAAATATTTTGACAATATACATTTCTCGGAATAGAAAAAAAAAATACTAGAAAACAAACAATCTTGCAATGAGCACGACATTAATAAAATTGTTACGTTAATTTCATATTTGAAACATCTTATCGAATTATTAATTTTGTATACCCCATTCTAATTGCCGTTTTGACTTGTTTGTTTATTTTATAGACTTGCACTTAAAACGCTTCGGAAGATTTATAACGTAAAGTGTTTTCAACTAGAATATCGTACGTAAATGCAACAAAAATAGACTTAATGTGTTGTTTAAATAAGGTTGTTTGTTGTTTTCATTCGACAGAATTCAGGAAGACGGAAACTACGCTGCGACCGTATTTTATTCAGAGAAAACCGGATATCGCATCGAGTACTGGGGACAAAGTAATGACTTGGCTGATTTACCTAAGGGAGTCGCCCGGGCCTATTTTAGAATGGACATTGAAACTACAGGGTGAGCATATTATATTAATGGTTACTTTAATCTATACAAATAAATAAAATTGTTTCGAAATAACAGCTTTTTACTATAGGTATGCATATGAAAGTATATACCGTACTTATAACAAAAACACGATTTTTAAAATTTTTGTCTGTCTGTTTCGTCCGGCTAATCTCCGAAACGTCTGGACCGATTTTAACCGGACTTTCACTAGCAGATAGCTGATGTTATAAGAAGTAACATAGGCTACTTTTATTTTAGAAAAAGAATTAGGGTACCGCAATAAATTAAATCCCACGAAATCGCTGGCTTGAAAATATGACTATATCTAAGAGTCCATTCAGTAATTGATTAATTTTGTTATATTTTTCAACATTCTGAATTTTGTATGATATTTTATGCGTATAATTTAATTATTTTTGCAGATGGTCTCTTCTGGAAGTAGAAACAGACGGTTCATACAGAGATGACATTCAAGCATACGCAGCGGGCATAGTTGAAGGGGCACTCACATCATACCTCATCCACACACACCTTGACAATACGATACGTGCGAAATGTGAGTACCAGCCGGCCAAGAGGCAGTGCAACAGGCTGCGAGACGAGTTGGACAAATCTGTTAATGTCTGGAAGAGTTATGCGGCCGAGCAAGGAGCTGATGACCCTTTCTGGCACCACGTAAGGAAATGTTATAGATTTCTTTCTCAATATATTATATTGCTACTCCTAAACTAAACTTTTATATCCGTCATTTTGTTTATTACTATCATCTTACGTTGTAGAGCCATGCTGCAGCTATATTAGTAGTATAGTTGTAGCACGAATGGGGCGACTCTACCGGAGAAGGACCACGCTCTCACAGAATACCAGCGTAAAATAGCAGCTTAACACTGCTGTGTTTCGTATGGTGAGTGTAGAGAACCGGAGATCCTTTTTTCTGGAAAAGCGGCATTCAATCTTAGTCCTCACGGGTGACAACGCATCTGCATTTTGATTCTTTATTGAGGATAGATGTAGATGTCTTTGGGTCACAACAACCACTTACCATCAGGTAGACTGTGTGCTTGTTTGTCACCCTATCCTATAAAAAAAAAGTTGTACCTGGCCACGCGTTGCTGTAGCTCAAAAAGTCAAAAGACGCGCGTATTGAAATGCAACGTTATATGTCAAAATTTCAAAGCAATCGGTGAAGAACTGTTGGAGATATAAGATTTCATTTATATAGATAACGATTATCATTTTTATAGAAATGTAAGATTTGAAGATGATTATTTTAAAAGAGATGTAAGATTTCATTTTTATAAATTTTATAGATTTAATAGATAACAAACTTACACATTTTTATTTATAAAGTTTGCGAATTCCAAGGGATTATTCTATTTTATTATTTCTATATCTTAAAGATATTTTGGTAATTTATGTCAATTATTTCAAACTATTTCTTTTATTAGTGATAAAGTACCAAAGAATTATAAAACTTAGTTATATTTTCTTTCAAAAATTGACGTACATTAGTGCTATGATATTTAAATAAAATACTTATTAGTCCAGGAAACGACCACACTTGAAATACCAACATAAAATATCAGCATGATGCTGCGGTATTTTATATAGCGAGAGAAGTGAGACCCTTGTTACAGATAACGTGGCATTATTTTAAGTCCTCAGAGGAGATAACGCATCAGCATTTTGATTCTTAATCGAACATATACGAACATAACAATATAGGTGCCTGTTGGCCACAGCATCCACTTGCCATTAGATAGGCTTGTATAAAACAAATTGTTTATTTGTCGACTCATAGTCATCCTCAAAAGCAACTCTAGGAAATACCAGAAAGTTCTCATGACCTCCGATAGATGGCGATATAACCATTTTAATTACATAATATCTCAAATGTAAAATAACAAGACCAATTGTAGGGAGTAGTGCGAAAAAAGCGAGATTTGTGCGTCTGCGATTGCTAATTCATCTACCAAGCGCGCCCATTACGGCAAAACCTGAAAAAGAAGGTGTCCAGCCATCGATATATATGTACCACGTACTAGATTGCGCATTCCGAACATACACTATGTTCAACTGAACTGTACTGTAATCCGTACAGTGCGTCATTTAGTGTGGTTTCAATCTACTACTTAGTCTGTGGTTTCAATATTCATGCAGTGTGGAGCGGCGCTCATAATACAAGATTTCAAATTAACGTTTAAACCTGGACGTAAATAACAATTTAGTAGTCAAGTAAGTAAAACTGTTTGTTGTTCAAGTGAATAAATAGGTAATAATATCGTAATATTACAAAAGAAAAAGTCATGAAAAAAATATATTTATTTATATAACTGACCCCGCAGGCGCAACGCGCTTAAATCAACTGCGCATGCGCGACTTTACTATCTCCCACACATACGCGAAGACATAGAGTAGTGCACATTTTTGTTTAGAAAGGCTTCTCTAGTATGTAGTACATATAACTCAATGTGTCCAGCAGTGAACTTGTTCGGACTGATGAAGATATGCTTAATTATTACTTGTAACGTTTTCCTTCTAGTTAAGTTGGCAACTAACAACTTTGCCACCAATCGAGATTCAAATCGATTTGCGTCGCGTACTTTGAAATTTGAGATAGTTAATTTTCTTTGGTGGTTACTTATATATAAAACTTTGCAGGTATCGCTATACTACACACAAATCGGCGGCATATACACCGGCTGGAAACATGGGACCGAACGTAGTGGTAACTACAAATACGACACAGATATATCGGACTTGTATTGGCTAAACTCCGTTGCCGACGTCGTGGAGCTACAACGCAAGCTGAACATCACTATAGACGACTCGGTCGTGAACCAGCTACCTGGGTTGGACAGTGCCTTCTTGAGGATTGTAAATGAGACGCTGGATGATGGAACAGTCGCAAAAAAACTATTCATTGCTCATAATGTGGCTGGAAGGTAAGTTTTATATTTAAGCGCTTTATGATCACATAATAATACGTACACGGGGAACTAAATGCGCGGTTTCCAATTTACCGGCATGGCGACGGCAACGGCAACAGCCGCCACGGCTGTCGGGGAAGCAAAAATTTATGAAATATATGATATAATAAATCATACATTTCATAAACGGCACGGACGGGAAATATATATATATTTCCCGTCCGTGCCGTAAAGTATATAGTCGGGAAAGGTCGCCCTAGGCGAAAGTTTATCGACCAAATTGGCGATATATTAAAAATGGGCCAAATCAAGAGTACCTTTAACCGACGAGCGTGTATGCGTAGGTATATGGATGTGGAGGAAGCGAGAGAGGTGTGTCAGGATCGTGCCAAATGGAAGTCCATAGTCTCTGCCTACCCCTCTGGGTGACAGGCGTGAGTGTTTATGTATATGTATATGTATATGTATGTACATTTCATAAAATTTTCACCGGCGCCGGCACGGCGAGGACTCCCAACGGTCCCGTCACCGGTGCCGTGACAGTTAACTTCCCTCTCGTTGCCGGCCAGCAAAACTGCATCTGTACTCAGTACTATTGCAGCCGTGGGCGTGTGTGCGTGTGCGCTGGTCGAAGTAGAAGGGACGCGTTGACATTGACACTTTAAATTGACTGGTGAAATGATGAAATGTCTCCTCGTTCATGCGGAAGTAGTTGAAATATCTTTTAGAGTTTTAAAATACTGTGTAATATGTATTGTTAAAATTTGACTTCATTGCGTTGATTACATTTTCCGTCCTAAATGTAAGAGATATAACTAACAAATTCGACGACTTGACGAGACCATTTTTAAGTGCTCTATCACTGTAGTCTGTGTTAGTACTGCCCAAAAACCGAGCGTAAACCGGCACCGTCGCCGTGCCGTCACCGTGCCGATGCCGTGCCGGTGCCGTGCCGTTAAATGGAAACCCGCCCAATAAAATTAAAGAGTTTCCCCGTTAAATTACAAGCGTAAAGCGTGATCTAAGAAACGTGTAATTCTTTTTCTATTACTGAATATTGTTGAAACCATTAATATCATAATTTTGATTACATTATAAAACAGATATTTTCATCAAATGTCGGAGCGTTACTTTGGGATTGAGATCTGTTTATTGACCACTTTTTTTCTAATAAAATTTTATGCTTCTACTATTATATATAGTACATGCAAAAAATCGGACGTGTTACCGTTTAAAAAAAACAGGCGTGATATTTAAAATAACTTATCTTAAAAATAACGTTTTGTTACCATTATGATATCCTCTTTCAGTTGGTTCAATTGATTATATACACTTTAGATAATAATCTACAGTGTTATAAGCCGGCAGTTTCCATTATAACAATAGCAGCGTTGATTTGTTTGCATATAAACACTGAAATGAATTGTTTTATACATTCATGAACTCAGGTGCAAAAATAAAATGCATTGTATGTATGTTAACTTTTAAATAACATACATGCGTTGCACTCAGTTAATAAATCATTAACTTGTTAATTATTAACTAAAAATATGATTAATTAAATGACTTTCAGAGCGCCATTAAGAGTTTAAAACGATCACCATTTTTAAGTTTTTATAATATGGTATAAAATTGTTGTAGATACGTAATATAAATCCATAATATTATTTCGTCGTGCGTCGTAAAAGAAGCTTCTAGAAAATGTATTAGTTGATTTAGTTCTAAATATTAAACCAGAAAAAGCTGGACAGATTTAAAATAACTTTGTAATTTTTATCTTATAAATCACAATTTTTTTAGTTTTATGGAATTGTTACGATTATCTCACATCTACTTTCTCCAATTCGATTATTCGTCGATTTCGGCGGGAAATATTTTTTTTATATAAGAGGGGGCAAACGAGCATACGGCTCACCTGGTGGCAAGTGACTTCCGCTGTCCATGAACAACTGGGACACCAGGGTAATTAGTAGTAGTAGAGTAGGCTCTTTTCTTGAAGATCCCTAAGTCGTATCACGTTACGTAAAATAACTAGACCAGCGCCGAGGAGAATTAAAGGTGCGAGACGTCTGTAATCGCCAATCCACCTGCCAAACGTGGCGACGATGGCTAATTCGGGGCCTGAGGAGAGACCGATGTTTAGCGTTTACTTAACCCATAGATTTCGTCATATCCGAGCTATAAGGCAATCTCCACTATGAGCATATTTTCCATAGATGTCATACTTGTCGTACGGGTTTTTAATTTTTGTTTGTTAGGTATTAGGGTCTTACTAATAACAGTTGCTGCCCATCTCTTGGTTTATTTCATGTGATAGTGAATATTCTTATACCACCCCTACACGATATAATTTTTTTTTTAATTTATTGTTATTATATGATTATGTAATGCAATGCAATGCTTTCAGCACATAGAACGTATTTTTTTTCTATTATAAGCCTATAGACTTACCGTTACAGCGTAATCAAGTACACTGCTGAACATAGGCCTCCCTATAGATTGCCTATTGGGGGGGGGGGGGCTATTTGCCTTTATTTTTAGTTGTTATTAGGAAGACACTGTTGCCCATCTCCTGATTTGTTCCTTCGAGTATACAAAAGCATTGCTTACTATATACAAATAAATGAAATTGAAGTGTCTGTTTGTAACGTCAAAATTACAGTTTTTTTTACCATAATTATGCATATGAAAGTATAAACGGTACTTATAACAAAAAAACAATTCTTAAAATTATTGTCTCTTTATCTGTCTGTCTGTCTGTTTGTTTCGGTTAATCTCCGAAACGGCCGGACCGATTTTGACGGGACTTTCACTAACACATAGCTGATTTTATAAGAAGTACCTTAGGCTACATTTATTTTAGAAAAAAAATTAGGGTTCCACGCAAAAAAAAATTAGAACCCATGAAATCCAATCGTAATAAATTTCACGCGGGCGAAGTGGCGGGGAACAGCTAGTGTATACTTTAAGTTTGTTTCCTTCTGTCGCCTCTTACGGCATCCACGAGATGATAATTGGGTAGAGAATATTCTTACACCGCCACTACACGATAAATGTGCTTACCTGTGCAATATACCAGCTTAATACTGCTGTGTTTCGTATGGTGAGTGTAGAGAACTGGAGACCCTTTTTACTGGTAAAAAAGGCATTCCATTTTAGTCCTCACGGGTGACAACGCATCTGCATTTTGATTCGCAAACGAGGATATATGTAGATGTCTATGGGCTACAGCAACCACAGGTGGACTGTGTGCTGGTTTGTCACCCTATTCTATATAAAAAAATATTTTGTCATACCAAAACTGGCGCAAACTTACTAATATATTTTTTTCAGTTATTCATCAATGACTCGCATATTAAAGAAGTACAAACTAAACTACCACAAGACGCCAACAGATGCGACACCTGCTCCCGGAGTATCAGTAGAGTTCTCGGGCTATCCCGGTTCAATCACAAGCCAGGACGAGTTCTATGTAATTAAAGGAAAAAACCACAGAATGGCAATAACAGGAACATCTCTCAAGAATTATAACAAAAAACTTTGGAAAGGTGTGAACATCACCGAGCAGGTGAGTCTCCTAAATAAGCAAACGCATTTTTAGCCGACTTCAAAAAGACGAGGTTTTTTTATATGTTACGCGATATCTTTGCAGATTGTCAACTGATTTTGATGATTCTTTTTTTAATTAGTAGGTTATACTTCAAGAGTGGTCCCATATAAATTTGAAGAAAAAATCCATCTCTGAGCGTGGTAAATAAATAAATACTTGTTTGGTAATTTGAAATCGGTTTTTACTTTTTGTTAAACGTTTTCTACTTAGATTCCACTAGTCGATGTTTTAAGGATGGGTGTTCCAAGCGTATTAGGTATTTACAGGCGGTCTTCGCAAAGATCGAGTCGGGCTGCGCAAATAATCGTGATTTTTACAAAATAATTACAAGAATATTCTTTTAAAGTTAACAAATATTTGCACAATGAGAAATAACACCACAAACAAAAGCTTAACTATAGTCTGTATAAGTACCATAAAACTATAGCTATATATTATTTACGTAACAGAAGAGAAGTGCGCGCGCAAAAATTTGGCACAGGTTCTTACCTCGGCAACGTCCCACGGTACCATAGATAAGCGCGGAATATTGACAAGTGACGCGCGGATCGAAAATCACTTGAATAATCGATAATGTTTTTAATAAATGTAATGGAGAAAAACGATCGGGGGGAATCGATTCAAAAATGAATTACCTATAAATCAATATTTAAAAAAAATGGAGAATTAGTACTTGTTTAAAATGAAATTTGGCTTGTAAAAAAACTGTAAATCGAACGTAGTTCGGTAATTATTTTCTCTCGAGAAAATTGTAGTGTATCGTGTATAGACCGGGTACATCATAAGGAGAAAGAATGTATTTAAAATATATATCCTTTTCAGATTCTAAATGTAATAATTTGGCTATCAAAAACCAATTTTAAAATGGACAAAAACAGAAACACTCAGCCCGAATTTTTTGATTAATAGCACTTATCTTACATACTATGTAACGTAATGTATCGGTATAGCAATGGTTGAATTTAATGTCTTACAATTTTTTCACAACAATATCAATGGCAACCAAGTTACGTCCGTGATTAATTTTACTCGTTTTATCCAAGGTGTACCGTAAATAGGTATTTGTGCCAAATATATCTAATTATAAGATATTTTCTTAAGATGTTTCTTTTCAAATTCAAATCAGCTCTAAAAATTACAATTTCAGCAGTGTCAAAAACCGATCTCCAATTCTATTTGTTCGATTTGGCGTACAATGTTATTAGACAAAAGCACCGAGCAGCCAACCCTTAACTTCAATTGTCTGTATAAAAATGTCTAACTGATGGAAAGTGCAGCTCCTGGGGACATGCAACCAATTTCTAACAAAGAACTCTTCAGTTGTTACTGAGGACCTAGATGGAATAATTCACAGCCCAAAATAACACTGATTCTCTTACCCAGCAGGCCAGAAAATAGCAATGGGTGTACCGCTGCTTGACGGCAGAAATAGGTAAGAGTAATGCCTATCCAGACTTCTGGGCAAAACAAGAGTCTACCCACCCTACCACCTAGTGAATTCTCTTTTTGAATATATTTTAATAAATCTTGCTTATTGTATTCCAGTTACCAGTGGGCCCTCGTGTATCAGTTGCTAACAAACTGGCCTCGAACGTAAGTTCGTGGGGGCGCACATTAGCAGCGAGTAACTCTGGAACGGCCTCGAAGCAGTGGCTTGTTGTTGATTTCGTACAATTCCAACGCCTACACGCACACATGGACGCCTTCGTTAAAAGCGAAAAGAAGGAGATCATCACAGAGATCACTGTTAACAAGTAAATATCATTTCTTTCGATTCTGTGTTTATGCGAGTAAATATTGACAATAATTTGATTAGCAGTAAAAAGAAGAAAAAACATACAAAAAGTTGTTCTTCCGAGACATGACGAATGATACTTTACATAATATTGAATGAAAGTATAGTTTTTACGGATTTATCGCGTTTCACTAACTTTCCATGGGTCAAAATAAATGTTCCCCCGGTTTACATTTGACTCACAGGACCCCTTTTCTTAGCAGTTCTTCTGAATAGGTACCACCATCTAACCTATTTCTGCTGCCAATTAGCAGTTCGTGCACTACTGTGTTTCGGTTTGAAGGAGAGCCAATACTTATAATTACAGGCGGCAAGGCATTCCATCTTAGTCCTCTGAGGTGACAATGCAACTACAACCTTCTTTGTTTGAAGTTGGTTGCAAGTGTCACAGGTCGCCTGCAGTAGTAAGTTCATTTATCACTTCAATTGCATAAAAAATAAATCAATGCTGCAAAGAACTCGAAACGTGGGGAATATAAAATTAGTTATTTGTCAACGCGATAAAATCCGCAAACGATATCGTATCATGCGGGTTGAGATAGATTAATGGATCCATCCTTTTGTCATCATTACATGACGCTTTTGTTTGGACATTCCATCCTTTTGCCGTCACTACACGGCACCTTTGTTTGGAAATTTTTAAAGGCGTGAACAAACAATGTTAAAACATCCACAACATTTCCTTTACGATACCATAACTATGTAATTATTTGTGTTTAGATATAACGAAGAAAACTTCAACTTACGCAGTCAATTAGGACTACCATTTTCCGATCACCAGATTTCGCTAGTTGGCAGAGAAGTTTTTTGTTACACAACAACATTATAATTGAGAATTTGTATTGTAAATAAAAGTTTATATATTTCTAGAATAAGTATTTTTTACATTTTTAGCTCTGTTTTTAATTTTCTACATTTAGAAAAATTCGTAGTTTCGTTTATAATCTAATTAAATAATATAACTAATAAAATCAGAAAGAAAAATTAACCACTATATTTTCTTAACAAATTGACTGCGTCAACCATTCCAAAGTGACGCCACCCTGGTTGCAAGAAGTCATGAACCCTCATTAAGTTCGTTAGATGACTTATGTACGTTTATCAATTAACGATTTCTTTACACTAATAAGAGAGTAAAATTTGCCACAGTCTTTAATAATTCTACTAACTCCCCAACTCCAAACTCTTCACTTCACTTCACTTCACTCTTCTTCTCAATCGGATTCCTGCGCAGAAAAGAAAGCATACTATTTCGCGGGCCTAATAATAATAACGTAATCATACAAATTGAAATAACTTCTTTTTAATAGCTATCGCTGAATTTCTGTACTTACCAATTGTATATGAATACAATATTCGTAATTTTCTACAACAATTGTCATCATTCATCGTCATTTTTTTATATAGGGGAGGGGGCAAACGAGCATGCGGCTCACCTGATGGTAAGTGACTACCGCCGCCCATGAACACTGCACTGAACTGCAACACCAGGGGAACAAGGGGAATTGCAGATGCGTTGCCGGCCTTTAGGTCATCATCATTACAGCCTATCAAATTCATAGATGTCTTTATAAGAAGGATATTTGCCACAGTTATCTGCGGTTGCAACCGTATTTTTTTATTTTCTAGTTGTTATTAGGAAGATGCTGTTACCCAAATCCTAGTTTGTTTCCCTCTGTCGTTCTTACGACACCCACAGGACGTATAAGTAGCGGCACGAAAGTCTAGCGGTGACCGTTCTTGCGCATAAGTCGCGCTCATTTATAAATAATGATTAAACCTGATTAAACCTTATCGCAGGGACATAAATCACACAACCATCCACCGGTCGGGCGTAATTCATCTATCTAAATCTAATCGTGTTCTCGTAAATAAAAAATACCAAGCAATTGCAATCCTTATCGCAGCGATGTAAGGCACACGATAATCGACCAGCCGTGCGTAATTTATCAACCGAATTCTAATCGTGTTCACGTCAATAAATAAAAAATACTAAGCAATTGTGAACCTTATCGCAGAGTCGTAAAGTACACGATCATCTACCGGTCGTGCGTAATTCATCTATCTAAATCTAATCATGTTCGCGTAAAAATAAGAAATGATCAAGGAATTGTGAACCTTATCGCAGGGACGTAAAGCACACGATCATCCACCGGTCGGGCGGCGGGCGTGCGAAGGGCGCAGTGTGGCTGCTGGAGCAGGCGGCGGGGCGCACGCAGTCCGCCGACATCACGGCCGCGCTGCTCGACACGCAATACTGGGCCACCTACGGGCTGCCGTTCTTCAAAGTGAGTGCCACACTCTATTCTTCATATTGCTCACAGTTAATGTTTAATGTAAAACAGCTTCGTTGGACTGACTTGGCCTGAGTCTGGTGAAGCTGTAAAAGCCAAAAAAGCTAACCGCACTAACATCATCAGAAATCAGAGTAAAATGCAAACATTAAACACTAACTAGAAATACATGACAAACATGAACTTGAAATACGAAAAATTATTTCGAACAAATAGTTTTTATTATATTAATACCTTAAGCACCTTAGGTGAAGTCCGCCAACATGCATTGAGGTATCGCGGTGTACACTTATTTCCCATATACCATATAGAGTAGAGGTATATGGGCCGTAACTTTTCCTTTAACTGTGTAAAAAAGCGTGATCTTATATTATTCGCAACGTTACTTACGTCACAATGTTCACCTACGACAGTGTACAGTGCACATAGATGAGTTATCTAACGACCGTCCGAACAGGTTACGGCTAACTCTGACAACTAACTCGTATCGTTCGATGTTCTGGGGGATAGGAACCGCCCAGGGTGCATTTTTTCTATAATTGTACAATTTTATACTTTTAGTTTTATAGTTTGTTAACGATTGTAGAAAGTCAGCTTGTCTACCCTCACTGGTGTAGTTAGTGTTAGGTTATTATGTACTCTGAAGGCTCATTTTTTAAAAAAGTCAAAGTGACAAACGAACTTACAGTCCAACTTTAATTGACCACGTGATGTGTTGAACGCAAAAAGTAGACTATATTTTTACTTAAGTCTAATCGAAACTAATGTCAAACCACTTGGTCGAAATGTTGTTTACACGGTTGACCATTACTAGAACCACCATGTCGTTGTATCAAGTCGACTTGTCAAAACGCTACTTAGGGTGACGCTTTAGTAGAGTACATTTGGCAGAGCGTGCACACACACACGCACGTCGTACTCGTGACTTGAGTATATAAAGATATATCTAATATATAAAATTCTCGTGTCGCAGTGTTTGTTACCAAACTCCTCCGAAACGGCTGAACCGATTTGTATGAAATTTTGTGTACATATCGGGTAATGGTGACCCACCCCTAAATTTTCAACCTTCTACGATCAACCCCTGTTTTTTAATCGTGATTTTTTAAACTAAAAGAATATTTATTAGAAATAATGTATAATATGACAAAACAACGTTTGGCGGGTCAGCTAGTAGAATATAATCACAGACTACTTAGTGGATACTACGTATACTGTAATGAAAATTCAAAATTGAAAATGAAAGCACAAGGCATTGAAACTTAGTCTGTGGTAATAAGAAATGTCATATTCTAAACTACCGTTTATCTATGGTTGAAAATAAGGGCTAATTTTTTTGTTCTAAGATTCCATGCCGTGAATATAATATAAAAGTCGATTTTACTCAACTAAGACGGAGCCCAAAAGAAGGGTAGTTATGTTTTTAGATCGCATAGGTATGTGTGTACTTATAACCGTTTCTATATCCTACCGGAACTATTTTAGAATAAAGCCACACTGACGTTGCCGATGTGTTGCATTGATTGACACACGGCTACACGGGTGTCGCAACACAACGGAACGCAACGCCGCTTATACTAGTACGCATATAGTAGTATAGCACATAGTACGCAACGCACCGTGTGGCATGTTAGTGTGATTCATATTATTTAGAACGATGCAATGTCACTGCTCAGTTGACGCAACCATAGTGTAACATATAAACTGGTCGTGAAACAAAAACCGACACGCTCACTTTATTTATTTCACCTTTAATTGAATATTCATTGTTTCAGGACGTTGCAGAAATAACACACGTAACGAAAATGGAAGCGATCTACGGGAAGACATTCTCGGAATCAGAATCACCGCGTGCAATAACTTTCAAACGCGGGTATAAAAACGCGACATCTTTGGAGAGTATTATAAAACTGATGCGTACGAACAACATGACAGCATTATACAGCTCCGGAAATGGCACCGACACCGCCGAATGTTTCGATGAATTGGATTGCGTTCTTAAGGAAGCTGACCGCTGGTCTGTCCTGGGAGTCAGAGGCGATATTGTAAAGAAACACAAAGCCCCCTATGGAGTTATTGATACGAAGGTCGTTAGTGGTAAGTTTATAACGTATTACTTTCTTCTTCTTCGTCAATCCGTAATAAGTCAGTTGTTTTCATGGGCCCCTTGCATTTAGATTTGTCATACTTTATATTATGGTTGTAGCACGAATGGCTCAACTCGACCGGGGTAGAACCACGCTTTCACAAAACCTTTGTGAAATAACAGCGTATTTTAATGGTGTGTGTAGAGAACCGGAGACCTTTTTTACTGGAAACGAGGCATCCCATATTAAACCTCAGAGTTCTGTCTTAATCCGTTCTTAATGGAGTAGATGCCTATGGGTCACAGTATCCACTTACCATCAGGTGGACAGTGCGATCTGTGTGCTCGTTTACCTAATGATTTCTTATATTTACGCGAACACTACACATTGAATAAAACTACTTTTACGGATTTTATCGCGTTTAATTAACTTATTTTATATTCCCGACGTTTCGGTTGCTTTCCAGCAACCATGGTCACGGGGGACTGAGGTGATTTACGTCCCGATGTCAGAGTTAACCCGGAGTACCTTCAGCTTTTTTAATTATTAATTTTGGTCCGATCTTGCAGTCCTCTAATTTCAATAGAGAGGGAGGCTGGGTACTACAACCTGCTAGGGATCCTGTAATTCGTAAAATTAAAATTAAACCCAAGCATACCACTGCAAGACTTCAAGACACAGTAAGTTAATTCTGCGTAGATCGAACCAAAATTAATAATTAAAAAAGCGGAAGGTACTCCGGGTTAACTCTGACATCGGGACGTCAGTCACCTCAGTCCCCCGTGACCATGGTTGCTGGAAAGCAACCGAAACGTCGGGAATATAAAATAAGTTAATTAAACGCGATAAAATCCGTAAAAGTAGTTTTATTCAATGTATGTGCTCGTTTGTCACTCTTGTTCTATAAAAAAGAACCATATCCGAAACAATTTGAAGCAATGAATGCTAATTTTAATGGAAGGGACAGGACAATCTTGCTGTTGCCGAGAAATAGCAATGTGACCATTTAGACTACACATTAGAACTATGCGAGCGACTAAGCGAGGGACTAAGCGCACGCTGTAATTTTCACAGTGAGCCAGCAACCCGGGTCTGATCCCCGCTGGCGCCAATGAAATTGTTAATTGCAATTTTAAGTGCTGATTTACCACGTGCTCGTCGGTGAAGGTAAACATCGCGAGGAAACCTACATGTCTGAGAAATAAGAAAAAAGTTTAGAAGACATGTGAATTTCGCCAACACGCATTGAGACAGCGCGGTGGACATATCCTTGCCCTAAAACTCTCTCAGAAATGAGAGGTGGCCTGTGCCTAGCAGTGGGACGTGTATAGGCTGTAACCTTTATTAGAACTGTGATGGCCAACATTCTTGATATGCGTGGCAATTAATGTAACATACCTAATGGCCATTAGATTGCTACTTCGAAGAGGCTCGCATTTAAATATGAACTTTTTTCGGGCTTATTACGATGACAAGGACTTTAATTTATCATCAGGTCGACCGTAAGTTCGTTTGTCACTTCGATTATTTAAAAAAAAACATAGTACTCATAATATTTGTCTAAGCCTAAGGTTTTCTTTGTTTGTCAGCCCGTAAAAGGCCACTGTTAGACACACACATGCACCTAAAACCATGTTGTAGGTTACAAATTATTTTAGATGCATATGAGTGCGTATTCCTACAATAAGTCAAGCATGGTAACTAGGTATACATCACATGAAATGCACGCAGCGCTCCGTCTTTCTTTCTGTTTTGGTGTGATTCGTAACCAAATAATTTAAACAAAATTTTTTTACAGGTACAACAGACAGCGATACGTTGGAATTCGTCGCGATATCCAGTCCTCCGTTCGTTGAGCCCCCTCAATGGAATGAAACAGAGACACCAATTAATAAAGGAACTGTGGCTTCCATTTACACCAACCAATTCGATGACGAACCAACTATAAATGGCTTAGAAATACGGGATCTTGTAAAACAGCAAGCTGAGCAGAAGGCACAAGAAATCTTTAATAAAAACACTCTTAAACCGTTTCAGTGGTCAGATAGTCTTTTCGAGGACATCACACACGAAGGTCTTCCCGATAAATGGGCCTTCGGTCCATTCAAACCCAAGTGGTCCTGGTGAATCTCTGAATATTCTTGAATCTTTCATAATAATTTGAAATTTAATATATATTTTATTTTAACGAAAAGTAAACACAAACTGTACTTAAAAATAATAGGTAAATTTCATTCAATGCTTATTCGTTTATACAAATTATAGTTATTGTTTTCGTTTTTTCGTTCATATTTCATATTGTCCGTGAGAGTTGTCATATTTTAATATTTAATTTTTAGCTGTGCCTGTCATGCTCATCTCTATTTTGTTAAAAACATTCGCTGACGCGCTCAAATCAACCTATCAAAATTTTAAACATGCAAAGAATCATTTATTTTTATATATAATTTAGATAATCGTTAGTGCGTGTGTTTGTGATCGTGTGACTTCTGAACACAGAACACAATTACTCTTTACTGAGAGAAGGAGTAACTGTCCTATACAGGAAACTGAGAGCTTCTGAACGACTTGACAGATTGGTGTTGTCATCATTATATTTGTTATAACAAGACTATGGCTCATAGCTGTGCTACGATCCGATAGGTGGCATTGTAGTCAAGTTATAAACAAATTCTATTTATGGACCAAATTTACTCATACAATATACAAAATCTGGACCCGATAGGTGACGCTGTAGTCAAATTATTATAAATTTTATATAATATACTCAAAAGTCCGGAGTGAATTCCGGGTGATTATAGATTTTACTTCAATCCTAATTCACCCCATCACTGAGGAGTCCCAGAGTGAAAAAATTACTCCGTATATAATTTTTGTGTTTTTGTACATCCTCCTGATCCAGTAACTTATCAATCAAAGTATCATTCAATTCACATTTTCTCAATATCAACCAAAAAACTGAATGGAACGGGCAGAATAACATCTGTTGAGAGCGTCAGATCAGCATCAGCTTTTATTTTAATAAAGTATTGAAAGCAACTATCTTAAACAAATCTATCTAATTTATCATACTTTCTTCATCAATTCGCATCAAGCTAAAAATCATTTCATCGTCCCCTTTTTCTTCGTATATGTAATATGTATTATAATTCTAGTCTTAACATTTCATTGTAATCTAGTTTTTTGTTTTATTAATCCAAAACGATGAAAGTTCTGTGAGTCTGATGATCCGTTACTACCAATTTTTTTTTCCGTGAATAAATAAATTCGATTATTACTGTTAAAAAATTTACATAGGTAATCAAATATAATGAAAACATTTACAGGTATTATTTATGCATTTATGCTCATAAGGGCAGGACACGATATTGTCACAGAGACTCGAGAAAGAGATGAAAATTTACGTACGCACGTATTCACACACGAACAAACATCGTTTAAAAACTTATAAACTTAGAATAGAAAGATATGTTGAAATTATGAATTAAATATCGGGCCGCATACGGGAAGTTCATAACATTCAATACTTTATTAAAAACTCTACACAATGTAAATTAATTCAATTAAAATCTGATAGTGCATTTTTATTTATTCCATTTTATTTGTAATAATTGTCCTCTTTGTCAATTTATCATTACATTTCGTTTCTTAGATTTATTCGCCTATCATTTTATTCGCCATAATCGATTTAACCATATTGTTTATTCTTTTGATGGCTTCTAGCGACTCATCTTCTATTTAATAGAAATGTGTTTTACATGTTTTTAAACTATTTATTTTTCATTATGTTTTCAAAGTAGATTTGACGTATTTTAATATAGAATACGTTATTATTTATTACAAAAATAAATATAATAAGAATGAAGTGACTTAAAATATAAAAGGGGCATATCGATTTGTTCTCGAAATAAATAAATATATTAAAATAAACGCTTTTTATTTCTTAATAATCCTACCTAAGAAATCATTTGTTTTCAATACAATAAGGGGCCTAACCACGTTCAAGCTGAAACAAGAGACAGTATTGTCTTGTGTCTGAAATTCAATAATTTTCATTTGGAGATTTGCAATGGGTCGCCATCATAGATTTATTATCCACTGACGTGATACAATAGATTAAAAGTTATTAGTACAATATTACAATATTTTTTTTTTATTTAAGTCCACTCTCATTCACGGCAGCTAGAAACTAGAACCAAAATCACAGAGTCAATCACAGTGTTCCGGAATCGATGCTGTCACATTCGGTCTTCAGCTTCGACAATTGACTCTTTCTGGCAGACAGATGTCTGGCAAAGACTTTGGAGCTTAAGTCCCGCCGCATGCATTTGGAGATAAGTCTGTTTAGTTGTCTGTATGCTCTCAAATCTACTGAAGACTGTAGCTTCATTTCCCGTCTAAAAGCCATGAAATCAAAAGTGAGATCGGAGAGTTTTTGTGTTCTACTGCGACGGGTCTTGCAAAAATTAGCTCCGACTATATGGACAGTTTCCACGAGTTTGTCATTCATATAGTACACTGCATTGCAATCTTCTAGGCACTGAAAACGATTTTGTAATTCGACCTGAATGGTTTCGGGACTTTGGATTAGAGCACGAGGGGGACTTACCATTTAGTTTCAGTGTGCCTCTAACCATTCGGTGATCGCTACCAATTTTCACCCTTGCGAGCACTGAGACATCATAGAACAGTTTCCGTCTAATCATAATGAAGTCAAACTCATTTTTTGTCGAACCGTCAGGGCTTGCCAAGACCACTTCCTGTGGGGCCGCTACTAAAAGAAAAAAGCTAACAGTTCATCATAAAGATTCCATCTTTCTCCATGAAGTCGGCCAGCTGTTGGTCTCTTGAGTTCCGTTGCCCTATTCCAAATTTCTCTACCCTCAGCTCGCCGTTCTCTCTTGTGCCTAGTTTTACGTTTATGTCTCCCATTAACACCGTATAGTAGTTTTGAAGGAGTGCATGGCTTTAGGGATATCCTCATACATTTTCTCCACCTCCTCATCGGGATGTGCCGAGGTTGGTGCGTAAGCCGATAAATCCTCCTTGGGATTATGGGATAGTCGCCCTCTCAGTGATAGAACAAGTTGCCGGATTCGAGGATTACCGTGTCCTCCCTCTCTCTTCGTACCTCAGATAATCCTATAATATCCCCTGTGCAACTTGTCTATCTCTACTTCCAGCTCCAGAATCTTCTCGTCAGCCCTCAGGGTACGTGAGTTGTATGTTGCCAGGTCGAGTCGTCTTAGGTTGCAACCGAACCTCCACCGGAGATTCTTAGCACTAAATAACATAAAATTATTTTGTCCGTGCAGTTGGGGTCATAAATCATAGCTCGGCCTCAGCCCGGCTAGGGCGGTGAGCATGTTGTGCGGGCGCAACGCCATTATCGATAAGAATAAATGAATCATCAAAGGCAGGTACACGACGGCGGTGCGGTATACAAAGGCTGGTGCAACATTGTTATGTTATGGGTCATTTGTTTTCCATTATTACCCCTGCCTAATACCTGCAAATTAGTGCATTGATAATTTAGTACATATATCGAAGAGAAATTTGTTTTTGCGCATTCGCTCTCTGAATTTCTTTAGTGACACAATGGCTACTCCTTTGTTTTATACCAAAACGGCAGAATTTATTCAAAATAATATTTTGCCTGTTGGCACCAATATACCAGCACAAGCACGTGTTGTTATCAAGAATATTTTAACATTTTTCACAGAAATGAAAATAGATCCCGAAAAGTTACAGTGTTAATTTCTGCCGTTCTCGTGAAATTGCTGCGGCGATATGTGGTGTGAGTGTTAGAGCGGTCGACAAAATTAAAGAGTGTATAAGGGGACAAGTTTGCTCTCCGCGAGAAAGCGTCTATCGGCCTTGTACAGTAACTGCGTTAGACGACTTTGACAAAAGTGTAATTAAACAAATAGTGTCATCGTTTTATCGCGACGGTGAATATCCTTCAACGGCTAAAACAGCAAAAGAAAGAATTGACGGATTCCAGTGTTCTATTTATTCTATGCGTAAAATACTCATAGAACTTGGGTACAAGTACACACAAGCTCCAGATGGTCGTAACCAATTTATAGCAAGGACTGACATCGTTTGTGCGCGGCTACAATTCCTGGGAAAACTCAAGACCCTGAGAGATAGTGACGACACTAGGCCAAGAATTTATTTAGATGAGACTTGGGTGAACCAAAATTTATTAAATGTTATTTACAATAAGCTTAGGCAAAATTTCGGTGGCTTTTTGTGTACCTCAATCATTCAACCATAAACACAATTCCCATCACTATTCTATAATTCTCATTATCATTACCACGGAATATAAAAATGTATATTCCGTGACCATTACTGATCATTACCTACTTACTTATATTCCCATTACAACATAGATTACTGTATAATATATCATTACTTCAAATAAATAAACTTCAAATAAATCGTTCATTCATTTATTCTATTAATCAAATTCATTCATTCGATCTTGGAAAGTTGCAAACTGATGAAGCGAAAATAATGCGATCAGCCAAGTTAAGCCAGGTCCAAAAGGAGTTGGCGAAATTTAACAAAATAAAACAGATAATAATGAAAGTGTGAAAACCATTGTTTAGTAATATTTTTTTGAATATAATATATTTATATATAAAGTAATTTGCTTATGTATTTTTCCTACATAGAGCAATACAGGGGTTGAGACAAGTAGCCATAGCGTTATTTTCCGATACCAAACTGTCTGTCATTTTTCTCAAACTCCCACACAAAATTAATTGTCTGTCTCTACGAAACTCACAGAAGAATTCAAATAATACATTAATAATTTCACACACACATAGATATATTCTATGTTATAACAGTGTAATGAAGTGAAGCCACTACATTGATAAGTTGCATACAGCCTGGCTCACAGAACCACACAGAACACTAATACCCTGCCTGGCTGTAACAACCGTCGACACGCATTATCGATGAAAAGGTGGATATTGTAATAAAGATAGGACTTTATTTATTACTACTATAATTATCTCTAATTAAACAAATAAACAAATAAACAATCCCCCCACGAGATGGAGTGACGACCTGGTAAGACATGCAGGAAGTCGATGGATGCAGGTGGCTCAGGACCGTGTTTTGTGGCATTCTTTGGGGGAGGCCTATGTTCAGCAGTGGACTTGTGAAGGGCTGTAATGATGATGAAACAAATAAACTATCCAACAGCTAACCAGTTGTAGTTTTATCTATCACTGGTTTTTAAAATGAATTAGTTTAGTATACCTATATATATAACGAATATATTTTTGTGGGTTCGCTTTTCTCATTATGAAAGAAACTCTTTTATCAGTATAGAGACAAAGCGAAACATCGTAGTTGTGGTGAATATTTAGCTCGTGAGAGCTTCCCACTTTTACATTTTTCTTGAGCTGACGCTCAATAAGTTCTGTTTCTTCAACGCCAACGTTTTCAAAAACCATTCGTTTTCTTTATCTATCAAAGATTTTTCACTCAGATTCTGAAGAAAGTTTTTCAACCCAGCAACTTTTTTCGTTAAAAAAGAGGTTTATCTTGCAACTTTCATGTTTTTTCTGATGTGTATTTGTTGCTGCATTTTTCTTTTTCTTAGTGTAAATGCAATGGTGGAAATTCCTTTGACTGAGCCTGAAACATAAATAATCTGACTAATATATAATAAAATAGTAGAAATTACAATAAATAAATATGTACCTATTTATTTTAATCAAACATATTATATACTAACTACTATAAAAAGGAAACTTTCAGGTGGAGGAGTGGATGTCGTACATGCAAATGTCAATGAATCAGGAATAGTGAGAGTGGCACTAATGGCATCGTAACATGATAGTCTGTATAGTTTTGTAAATTTGTTGTGGCAGATCTATTATTGCAGCAAAACAACTGAACAGTTCGGCATTTTAGTAGGACGTTGATTTAATCGCGCAACTAAATTTAGTCTAGTAAGTAGTACGGTTGCAACTAGTTTTATTGTAGGTACGTATAGGGCCGCGTGGACTTGCACCTGGGTATAACTACTCCTATCCGGTATGTCGGCGGCCTGTATTGTCTTTTCCCATAAAGTAAGTAAAACCTGTTTTAGGGGCTTTTTTTAAAGGCTAAATTTTCGCGGGGATTTCGGAAAAAGTTGAGGGGAATTTTTCATGGTTATCTGAATCTGAATCTGACAACACTGCAACTGTCATTCCTTGCAAATTTTGACTCATATCTATTTATCTATGATTTGACTTTGAGACCGTAGATCGAGGGATACTATGTCTATGTTTGAGACCTTTGAGTACGCCTATATAGTATATTATACGGATGTGACAATGAGTGAAAAAAATCGATTAATAAAAAGTCGATTTTTTGCTTCGTGATAATAATCGATTTAAGAAAAATCGATTTTTTTTATAAAAAAATAATCGATTTTTGCGAAAAAAAATATTTTATTCGAAAAATAATCTTCTGGTTTTAGAAATAAATTACAGAACAATTTTTTTAACATATAACTTTGAACAATAAAAAACTAAAAATAATTACTGCCACAAATGTTCAGTGCCATTTAACAATTTATTACAACCAAAATAAACAGAAACGATAAATTAAACTAAGTTTTACGGATTTTATCGCGTTTAATTTAACTTTTTAATTCCCGACATTTCAGGGGCTTTACAGCACGCATGGTCACAGAGGGGACTGAGGTGTTTGACGTCCCTATGTCATAGTTGAACCACAAATCCTCGCAAAAGAACACCGATTCCTACCAAGGATGATTCGCGAGGCTATCGAAATTAAAAACATCCTAATTTCAATAGAGAAGATGGATGGGTGCTGCCATCTGCTTGGCATCCTATAATTAATAAAATTAAATCCAAACCCAAGCATACCACTGTAAGACTTCATGATACTGTAAGCTCATTCTGCGTAGATCGGACCAAAAATTAATATTCCAAAACTGAATTTAGCCAGGCTAACTATGACATCTGGACGTCAAAGACCTCAGTTCCCCCCGTGACCATGGGTGCTGTGAAGCACCCGAAACGTCAGGAATTAAAAAGTTAAATTAAGCGTGATCAAATCCGGAAAAATTTATTTCATTTAATGTGTAGTCTTCGCGTAAATATAAGAAATCATAAAGAAACCAAAATTTTAGTAAACGATAGTTTTTTTTAAACTATTTGAACAAACAAAAAGTCTAAATATCATTATGCCACTAATGTTCAGTATCATTTACATTGGATTGGAATGAAAATAAAATAAAATTATAATTATAAATAATCCGACGACAACCTTTTGATCTCAAAACTAAAATACAAGACAAATCTTTTTTTAAACTTGTGTAAACAAAAAAAGTAAAAAAAATATTGCCATGAATTTTCAGTTAAAGACTTTAAAAACAATCAAAATTTCAACAAACAAAATTCTTCTTCGTCTCTTTCCCAAAATACGGTTTCGTTTTTTCCTAACAATATATCCCGCTTTCAAAAATAATCTTTCGGCTGGCGCGGAACTGGCCATCACTGAGAGGTGTTTAAAAGCCAATTCGGTTAGTTTAGGGAAAGTTCCTTCAGAGCTTCTCCATATATTGAGGGCATCTGCCTTGAGATTTGATAGTGGTGCCGCAATATATAGATCAAATTCTGTATTTTTGCCTATTGACGTGTTGGCCGCTATCATTTTTTCATTATAAAATACTTCTGTCAGTCACTTTTACGCGTTTCACAAGACATTTTTATTGTTTATATATAATTGTTTACACTAACCAAAGAAAGAAAGAAAATCACAGAATACTTTTACTCCTCCTTGGTCTTCAGACTGCCGATAGTTGTATGCCATATTTTATTAAACATAGAATTCTTACACTTCCGTCCTTATACATATTGAACATGGCTCTCTTTGTCAGGGCCAATCCTAACCTATTTCCACGGTTGTCTAACAAAGTAAAGCGCAACCGACGTGATGGAAGTAAATTGTGCTTGCAACAAGCAAGAACGGCTCAACTAAGAAAGAGTGTAGTATGCATGGCTCTTAAAATCTATAATAAAATACGTTCTTATATATTAGTATCTTATATATATATCTTATATAGTTATATAAACTTTTTAAAAATAAATTCAAAAATCTTTTAATTGAAATAAAGCTACTACACTCTAACTGATTTTCTTAATGATAAATTTTGACATTATATAATTGCCTTATACATGCATATACTTTTAATTATAATTGTTGTAAGTAATAATTTCACTGACTTTGTATATTAATAGACTGCTAATGTTAAATGAAAACTAACAACCTAACACTTTAAATTTTACACACCGAATATCGGTAAGACATGTTGATACTAATAACACTAACACCAAGAATATATATCTGCCCCCACACATGTTTTAGTAAATAAAATATCTTATCTTATCTTATCTTATCTAGCGGAGGAAGAAACCTGTTGAAAACATACGGAAAGTGAAACTGTTTTACATACATAGAGATACATAAAGGTGGCGCCGTCTTTTGATAGACTTATTCATGTTTTTGAACTTACTTCACGTTTTTACATCCATCGCACAGATGACTCTGATAATAAAAATCGATTGAAATGCGATTTATTAAAAATCAATTTTTATTATAAAAAAATCGACTTCAAAAAATCGATTATAAGAAAAAAATAATCGATTAATATGAAAATCGATTATTTTTTCACATCCCTAGTATATTACCTATGCCTTTGAGAGGAAAATAAATACCTATTAGAAGTTTAGAACATACGTAGTATCCACTAAGTAGTAGTCTGTGTTTAGAACGTAACGTCATACAACTTTATAATTTGTGCGTAACGTATGTAGTGATTAGAATTTATACTCTGATTGTTTGTACAATTCAAAGACTATTTATTCACTACGTTTAAGTACAGTTAATAGGGAAATAGGGTATAATTACTATTTACCAAAATTAGTGATCATTCTCTTTGATAAAATATTAGTCATGAATTTCTTTAGAAAAGCCCCCACAGTAAAAGGTTTGTGTATTAGGTATAATGCATTTTCAAAAGTAATATTAATTATAGCATGATATTCTTAACTTAATTTTTTAACCTCAGAACAACAGAGGCAAAATGATCGAGAGCTCCGAAAAGCTGGCAGAGATTTAGATAGGGATAAATTGGCTCTAGAAAGAGAAGAAAAGAAATTGGTAAGAACTTGCCTTCATGGCTAATAAAGTATACTTTAAATTGACCTTGTATTTAATAATTGTGTGTTCTTTATACAACTTCAGGTGTTAATGTATGTAGTTGTTGATTACCTCTATGATTTGCAATTAAAGTTAAATGCTATTAAAAAAAATGCCGACTTCATTTCTTAATAACTTGCTATTTATATATATTATTATGCTGAACATAAGCCTACCACATAGGTTGCCCCATAGAGAGGATGTTTGATGCATGCCTGGCAGGCAGGTTGGAAAGTGCAATCTTTTATTATTTTTGTTATTGAGATTTTATCAGGAAGACATTGCTGAGCAACTCCAGTTTCGGTCTTCCGCCTCTTATGATACTCATGAGATGTTATGGGGTACTGGGTTCTCTTACACCGCCTCTACATGAACAACTTCAATCATTATCATTCATCATCATCATCAATATGACAGCCCATCACAAGTCCACTGCTGAACATAAGCCTCCCTGAAGGAATACTACAAAGCACAGTCCTGAGCCATCTGCATCCATCAATTTCCTGCATCTACTTACTAGGTTTTTGCTCCATCTAGGGCAGGGCCGCCTTACACTTTGTTTACTGCTATGAGGTTGCCTGTTCTTTCTTCCCTATCAAATGTTTGTTCTTTAAGATATATGGCTAGCCCAGAAAAATGTTAGGATTCCTTGAGAGGCTAGCCTAGCATGACTCAAGTAGCATTAATTCCTGCCTACTTGCTAAAAATGCATTCAGTTGTGGAGTCCCAGAAACCGGTCCTTGGTATACTCACACTAAGGAAGCCCGCTTTCCATAGGCCTCCGAGTAACCTTAAACTTCCTGATACGGCCAACAATGAAGTCTCAAATCCATTTGCAATCACTGGCAATATGCTCTGGTTGTATACTTTTGTTTTCAAGTTTTGAGGTATAGAAGATGTGTAATCTCCCAAACACTCCTAAACCTAGTTAGATCCTTGATCGACTTCTGGCTTGAAGATGGAATAACTTAGTTAGAAAATTTGGCCTATCTAAACATATTTGTCAACAACTTCAAGTGTGTAGTGCCTCTAACAGCTACTGGATTTGGTGTGACATGCAAGCTACCATTGACCTTTGTCTAGTCCATGTTCATTTTAAGACCTATCCATTGGGATTCTGTAATTATGACTGTATTGTCGAAGAAAGCTATGTGAAGTCAAAGCTAGGTGATGTACTCGCCATAATACTATGTTAGTATGCTGGTTTAACATCAATAATTTGTTTTAAACAGTAATAAAACAAAATGGTATTAAATTTACAACACCAAATGTTAAACAAATGTATACAAGTGTGCTTTTAAATTGGGTCTTGTTGAATCCACTGTTTTTCTCGGAATTACAGTTGACGTGAAGCTTTAATGAAGCCCTTATAAATCTAAACTAGCTAGTAAACTTAGTTCTGCAGCATATGCTGTAAAAAAGATTAGATGCCTTACATGTGTTGAAACAGCTAGATTAGTTTATTCTAGTTATTTTCATTGCATAATGTCATATGGAATCTTGCTATGGGGTAATGCGACTGACATTGAAACTAACTTTATTTTGCAGAGGAGAGCCATATGAGCAATTTATAATCCAGGTCTGAAGCAATACTTTAGAGAACAGTTTAAAGAAATATATTAACATAGTACATATATTAATTAAATTATTAATAAAAACAAAAATAGTGTAAAAAATAATGTGAAAAAAGTTATACCAGTTACTCGACTCCAAAGAGTCAGTAATTTTTTCATGGGGCAATGTAGGTATATGCTTTTATAACAAAGTCCCATAAAATATGCAGGCCTTATCTATCAAAAGGTTTAAAATTTTTACCAAGCAAGAATTGTCCAGTACTATACTACTAGTATTATATATTACTAGCTGTGTCCCGCGGTTTCACCCGCGTTTTTCTCGTTTCCGTGGAAATACCGAGATAAAATATTGCCTATATTATAGCCTCCCTCAATAAATGGACTATTGAATATTTAAACAGTTTTCATATCAGATCAGTATTTCCCGAGATTACCGCGTTCATAACAAACAACCAAACTTTTCAGCTTTATAATATTAAGAAAAATATAGATTAATTTAAATTGTATAAGTCGCAGACAATAGCTGTCTGTCTGTTGACATTCAGCCAGACACATAAGAATTACGACTACAGGCGGGAGTGTCCGTCCACTTTAAACCGGGTTAAAATATTATTTTAAAGTACTTCTGAGTAAATTACATTTTTCGTTTTATTTTCTTGTGGCAGAAGAATATATTGATTGTTCCTGATCTTGACAACGCGACATATAGTTGGCCGTGCGAAAAACAGTCTTGCCGTAAATCTAATCCTACATATTTAAATGTTTGCCCCTGTGATTTATTTATCATTACGGCAAAAGATAATTTAATTGGGAATTGGACTCTTTTAAAATGAAAAGGCAAATCATTTGGAATCATTGGGATCCGAGGTATAAGTACTGTTTGACCAACCGCTGGACCAGTCAAAACTGTTGCAACGATCACGTTATTGTGAAGAAATTTAACCTGAAGTCGAGTCCCGTTACATAAATTTGGTGGCTTAAGATTTCTAAGTAAAATAATTGGGGCACCAATTTTTAACTTGAGAGAATGTGGGGGGAGGCCACTCGGGTTTAAAGAATTAAGAAATTCCTGTGGATAATGGACTGCATCTTCTTGATCCATTACATTATCAATAGAAGTGTAGGTGACTATATCCCCTGGAAGTTAAGTTAAAATTAAATCGTTAATTTCGTCAACACTACTGTTTCTCGCCGCCAATATTGCTCGTTGACACATCCATTGATAATCTTTATTTTCTTTTTCGACGATATCTGGGTAAACTTTTGATATTAAACTCTCAATGCTAGTCACTTTTCCTCCTAAATCTTGATCAATAGGTATTTTATTTTCAAAATGAGGTACTTTTCCGTCTCCAATTAAAAGTAACTTCAAAGGAAAATTTGTACTACCTCCCCCCAAATGTGCTCTCATGTTCGTAGATAGTTTTAAGGTATGAACAAATTTCCATAATGGAGAACTTTTGAGGCAAGATTTTACAATGTCTGCTCTAGTTCCTCTTACTACTACTGGTAAAGTTTGCCGAAAATCCCCAGCAAACATGACAGTAATCCCACCCATGATTTTATCACAGCTTCTAATATCTCTAAGAGTCCTATCTAGAGCCTCTATGTGAGCTCTATGAATCATGGTATATTCATCCCAGATTATTAAAGTGACGTCTTGCAAAACTTTTCCTAAAGGGCCATTTTTACGAATAGAGCACACGCTATCTTTCTGTAACGAAACGGTTAGGGGCAGTTTAAAAGTGGAATGAGCTGTGCGTCCACCAGCTAATAAAGTTGCAGCGATTCCTGATGACGCTACTGCCAAAGCTAGTTTTCCCTGAGACCTTACTTTTGCTAATATCAAATTAGTAATGAAAGTTTTGCCGGTTCCGCCTGGAGCATCCAAAAAAAATATTTTTCCCTCATTGAAGCGAACACTGTGCATAACACTATTGTATGCCATCACCTGATCATTAACTAACTTGGGTTCATTTACAGTAATATACTCATTTAATTCATTTACATCGTATGGCTTCCGCAACGCTACTTCTAAAGGATCCAAATTATGGTGTGTGTTATTCCTTTTTGTTGCAGGAAGCCCAAAATCAGTTAATGATTTATCGCAAATCTCATGAATCTTATCTTCAATTATGATAAGTCCATCATTGTATATGTCATCACTATATGCTAATGTCATATCCTGGGACTCATTACGCATTCTGTATAATATATCTTGACACAAATCTTCCCGAAATTTGTTCCATAGCTGCAAGGGGTCAGATCGTTGGCAAAATATGAGGATTATGGTAAATAATTCTCTTAATTTTGGAGCCGGCTCGGACATGATAGCATCTGACATAGTATTTTGCCAATGTTCATCTCCCTCCAGTAAACCTAATTCCTTGCAAGCTCCTTGATAAGTATTGAAAATAACACCATTTACTGTCCTTAGATGTTCAAATGACATTGCACCGCGAACATGATGCAGTAACATTCTTAAATAGTAACATTCAGTTTGTGTCGGATGAATGTTGTAGACACGACCTAAAGTTGAGTCTTTTTTTATACCGGGATATCCTTCAACATCTTGTCCACGTCTTCTTTTAGAAAATGAATTTCTTTCCCATACGTAATACTGGGGTACTTCGTGATATAAAAGGGTTTTGGCAAAATCGTCTCTTTTGCAAAGATCAAAGAACGCTGTAAGTGTCGTTGATGAAGGATTGTTGACGCGATCTTGAAGATTTTCATTATTATAAAAATAAACTCTGTCCATTTTCTAAATGAACTGCTAAATGAACTATTGCCGGAAAACGTTCATGAATCGGAAATTGGAAAATTCTCCAGAGTGCTTCCGAGGAACTTATATAGCGACTATTTAAATATTTTTCTACTTCATCGTTATTATTTTGTACCGAAAATGTGGCTTGATCAGAACCTTTATAACCAGAATATACTTACAGATGTACTTAATGGCTTTGACCGATTGGCAAAACTCTACGTTAATGTGTACATTGAAACTTCGTGATAGCACAGGGTTATAGGGAACAACCCACCTATTATCCACTCTAATTTCTGTACCTTTGACACGAATTATTGCGGTATATCCACCATTATCTGGTGAACGGCGCTTGTAGGTTGGGTAACCGTCATCCCCGGTTTGTGTTTCAGAAATAAACTGCCTGGGGTATTTTTTAGAGCAAATGTTTTCTTTCATCAGGTAAACCTCTTTTTTGCCATTCTACACTATAAACGAAGGCTTTCGATGGTGCAAATATATTTTTCTTCGTTAATAGGTCTATCATTTTTTTTAGTTTTAAATGAAATACTCTAGAAATCAAATCATGTCTGTCGTAAGAATTTTGATCGGGTAGTAACTCAATTTTTATTTCTGGCCATTCGGAGTTACATGTGAATGTTATAAAGAGATCTGGTCTTCCAAATTTCCTGACATAGATCATGGCATCTTGACTTTTTTCATTCATGTATCTAGGAGATCCTGTAAATGACGATGGCAATATAACGTGCTGGCCAACATTAGAAGCGTCTACATTGCCATCATTAACCACGGCATCTCTTAAATGAATGTACTCTTCTGCTCTTAGTTTTTTTTGATTTCTTTTTATGAAGTCAAGCCTTTCAGAAATCATTTTTGCCGCCATATCAACACAGTATTGATTAAATAATCCTTTGAAATAATGTATGCTGTTAAAGTCATTTATTCTCACCATGAGTCTAAATGCATAAAACTGCATACATGATATAGTTTTAGATCTAGCAGCAGTATTTTGCTGTGGAATATTTATACAATATCCGTCATTTCCAAAGGGAAACAGTAAAGGATATTGAAGTGGGTCATAAGATCTATGTATTTCAGAAACTCGCTGAAGGCGCCCGTCTCTGGTATTTAACACTATATCTCGGGGACCTTTGTCTTCATCTATTAAAAGAACAGCTACTTCATCTACCATGGGCGCGTTATATCGACCTCGATGTTCATTAGGAGGTTTCACATCAGCATGAATAATAAGTTTAAAATCATTCATTGGTCTGTTTTCGAGATTATATTTAAAACTTTGAATATAAGTATTGTGATCGTGAAGATATGTTTGGTAGGTTTTTAACGTTGGATTCAAATTTGAGCGTAAAGATACCAGCAGGGCTATTCACAATCGTCTCGGAAAGCGAAATCGACTCGGATTCGATATATTCTCGCACCGAAACCAATAAACGCTATTAACATTTAACGTTCGGATAAAGGTCACTTAGATACATCCTATAACTATTGTATCGTCATTTAGTTACATGCATTTACGAATTTTGTAGATAAATAGGCTTCTGTAATTTTTTAGAGTAACGCCTGCACAAAAACATAATGCAATATTTTGGAGTTAGCCATTGATATCGAATATAAAAAATATATAATTTAACTATATAATAAATAACAAAAAAACTGAGATATGTCTCGTTTCTGTCGGGTCTGGGTTTTTTTCTATGGGGCGTTCTTTGACGTTTGTTTTCGATAATTGTGACAGTTTGCATCGGAAACTTTACGAGAGCTCTGAGGCTGGCGAAAACTTTTCGAATATTGATGATTAGAAGAGATAAATAAACCCTTTTAATTATAAGGTAGGTAACAAAAATTAATTACAATTATCTATAAGACGTATTTTCATATAATTACTTCAATATTTGCACTTAATCGTAAAGCTGAATTTTTGTGAAAGGTGTGTTTTTATAAGTTTTCTATCACAAATATATATATATGCTGCTTTGTGAAACGAGACATATCTCAGTTTTTTTGTTATTTATTATATACTTAAATTATATATTTTTTATATTCGATATCAATGGCTAACACCAAAATATTGCATTATGTTTTTGTTTAGGCGTTACTCTAAAAAAATACAAAATGCCTATTTATCTACAAAATTCGTAAATGCATGTAACTAAATGATGATACAATAGTTATGGGATGTATCTAAGTGACCTTTATCCGAACGTTAAATGTGAATAGCGTTTATTGGTTTCGGTGCGAGAAGTTATCGAATCCGAGTCGAATTCTCTTTCCGAGACGATTGTGAATAGCCCGGCAGATTTGTATGGGAAATAAAATATATTTGCAAAAATTCGTGTTGTGCGCCTTCAGGTGGAAGTAAATTATCGATCAGATGGTAAACTTGCCCCTGGACTTTAAAAGTGGGCATAAAGTTTCCTTCACGAATTTCTTTGGCACCAAATGAAGTCATCTGAAACAGTGTATTATATTGTCTAGAGTGATTTAAGAAATGCTTAGAAGATGGATGTGAGCCTGATATTAGATCTTTAAGAATTGATGTTGGTGCTGGAATTTTAGGAATATTTACTTTGCCACCACTACAACACAGTCCAGGAGCTTCAGCCGGCCATTTTTTTGCTTGACATGAATTACATATTTTATTCATTCTACAAATATTAGTACCATTTAACTCAGCATAGTCAAGGGTATAATCATAAGCAAATGCTGAATTCAATAAATTATATTGCCTGCGAGTTCTGTTCCTTGCTGTTCGTGCATTTTGCTGTGCTAATCGATGGGAACGTTCAGCACTTGATTCCCGTTCCCGGTTTGCCAAAGTGCGGGAATTCTGTGTAGCTAAACGTTGAGAACGTTCAGCGCTTGATTCCCGTTGCCGGCTTGCCAAAGTGCGGGAATTCTGTGTAGCTAAACGTTGAGAACGTTCAGCGCTTGATTCCCGCTCGCGATTTGCCGAAGTTCGGGAATTTTGTGCGGCTAAACGTTGAGAACGTTCAGCACTTGATTCCCGTTGTCGATTCGCCGAAGTACGGATATTTTGTGAGACTAACCGCTGCGAACGTTCAACACTCAGCGACAGGCGGCCAGCAAGCGCGGCCTCCTCGTCTCGCCCGCCGCCGCGCCGCCAGCGTCTCGTATTGCTTGCATCAAGCGCGCGTGGATTTCCTTAGCAGAGTTATTTTAGAAATGTATTTATTATACTCTTCAAAGATCTTATACTTACAATCAATATATTTGGAAAATGGTTATTCAGGATTTTATGTTGATAAAAAACTCTATGATGTGTGATAACTTTTTAACGAAATATCCAATTGAGATGAAACAAAAAGTATTTTACTTCTTCATAAATACTCTTGATAACATAATGCTTAATTTCGATAAAGATTAATATTACGATACATAATTAACGTAGTTTTTTTTTCTTCAGACGATTTAATAACTAATTTGAACTCAAAATCGATTATTGTGATTAAACCATGATAGCTAGATATATGTTCTCGCGGACTTTTTTGTAGGTCTTAATGGGATCTACAAACCCGAAGTACATAATTTTGTTTTATTGTCAATAGTTTTTGCGGCGCACGCAAAAATATGTTTTCGATTTTACACCTTCTGTTACAAAATAGCAATTTTATTACGGATCCCTAATTTAAAAAAAAAAAACATAGCCTATAGCCTTCCTCGATAAATGGACTACCCAACACTGAAAGAATCATTCAAATCGGACCAGTAGTTCCAGAGATTAGCGCGTTTAAACAAACAAACAAACACTGTAGCTTTATAATATTAGTATAGATATATAATATAGTATTATACTACTAAAGAGTACATTATTGACAATAACCCCTGGGAATTAAGTGATTGCTACCATGTTGTTTCTAATGTCTTCATAGATATTGTATACAAAAATATATTGTAAATAAATATTTTTTTTAAAAGTCCTGCTGGGTTTCTTGTTGGTTCATCCCAGGACAGAGATATTTTTGCAAACCAGTGGTGAAAGTAAAAAATGACTCAAATACTCTTGTAATCTATATTGAATAAAAATGATTCTATTCTACTCTATTCTAATGATGTTGAGACAGTATCCTTACCAGTAGTTTTAAAATGTCTTTCAATGCAACTGTGAAAAGTTTCGGGGATATCATCATCATTACAGTCCTTCACAAGTCCACTGCTGAACATAGGCTTGCCACAAAGCATGGTCCTGAGCCACCTGCATCCTTTGACTTCCTACATGTCTTACCAGAGTAACCAATGTAGCCTAATGGATTAGTAAGCTGAAGTGGCAATGGGCCGGCCATATAGCTTGAAGAACCGACAACCGATGGGGAAGAAGGGTTGTCAAGTGGCAGCCTCGTACTGGTAGGCGAAGTGTCCCGCCACTAGATATTAGCTGGTATTCCCATCAAATTTCTATAGGAAACTTTCATTTTGATATCTCATTAAAAGCATTTCATTTAACATGCATATCAAAATATGAGTAACACAATGGCATAAAAATCATTTGTCAAATCAATTTTTTTACTTTATTTTATTTATAAAAGTTCAAATAAATTATTGTATTTGTTTTGACAGGAAATGGAAATAAAGAAAATGGCTAAGGAAGGAAATAATGAAGGATGCAAGATACTTGCTAAGCAATTAGTTCAGTTAAGGAAGCAAAAGACTCGAATTTATTCTGCTAATAGCAAGGTACTTTAAAACTTTTATGATTATAAAATTCATTAATTTTATATTTTGATAAGTCAAAAAATATTTTTACTGGTAGCCATAACTTTTCAGGACCACATAGGTTATTGATGACAGTACACACTTTTATATTGTGTGTCTAAAGTAACTTTTTATTTGTGGTAGAGCCAAGCTAAGGGGGAGGCATTGGCCGTTAGTTTGGACATTGCGAAGGCCTTCGATCGGGTTTGGCACAAAGCGCTTCTTTCGAAGCTCCCTTCCTATGGGCTTCCCGAGAAATTATGCAATTGGATCACCAGCTTTCTTTCAGATCGGAGCATCAAGGTCGTTGTAGACGGTGCATGCTCCAACTACAAGCCTATTAACGCTGGTGTTCCACAAGGCTGCGTGCTATCACCAACGCTGTTTCTTCTGCATATCAGTGATATGTTGCAAGCCAGTAGCATTCATTGCGATGCGGATGACAGCACTGGTGATGCTCTATACACCGGCCGTGCCAATATTTCTCGGGAAAACGTCACTGAGTACCGGAACAAACTTGTGTCTGAAGTCGAGTCTTTGCTGGACAAAGTCTCGGATTGGGGGCGACTAAATCTAGTCCAGTTTAATCCTTAGAAGACACAAGTTTGCGCGTTTACCGCTAAAAAGAACCCCTTTGTCGTATCTCCTCAGTTTCAAGGTACTCCCCTTGTTGCCTCAGCCAGTATCGGAATCCTCGCCGTCGACATATCGAGTGACGTGCAGTTTCGTGGTCACTTGGAAGAGAAGGCCAAATTGGCCTCTAAAAAGCTTGGCGTGCTCAGCAGAGCAGGACAGTATTTCATGCCAGCTCAACGCCTGCAACTTTACAAGGCGCAGGTTCGGCCTCACATGGAATACTGTTCCCATCTCTGGGCTGGGGCTCCCCAGTGCCAGCTCCTTCCACTTGACCGCATCCAGCGCAGAGCGGCTCGAATCGTCGACGACCGAGTCCTTTCCGATCGGCTCGACTCATTGGCACTGCGAAGAGATGTTGCATCTCTTTGCATTTTCTTTCGCATTTACCATGAGGAGTGCTCTGAGGAATTGTTCGGATTAACCCCAGCCGCCAAATTTCACGAACGCACATCGCGGCAGAACTCCAGATACCATCCACATCATCTGGATGATTGGCGGTCCACCACTGTGCGATTTAGAAGATGTTTTCTTCCTCGCACAATTTCCTTGTGGAATAGTTTACCACCAGCGATTTTTCCGGACCGATACGACTTAGGGACCTTCAAGAAAAGAGCCTACTCCTTTTTAAAAGGCCGGCAACGCATCTGCAATTCCCCTGGTGTTGCGGTTGTTTATGGGCGGCGGTAGTCACTTACCATCAGGTGAGCCACATGCTCGTTTGCCCCCTCTCCTATAAAAAAAAAAAACTATATTTATAATATAGTTGTAGCACAAATGGGTTGGCTCAACCGGGGAAAGACCACACTCTCACAGAATGCCAGCGTAAAATAGCAGCTTAATGCTGCTGTGTTTCATATGGTGAGTGTAGAGAACTGGAGACGCTTTTTACTGGAAACGAGGCATTCCATCTTAGTCCTCATGGGTGACAACGCATCTGCATTTTGATTGAAGGTAGTTTTTCACCACCATTATCCTATAAAAAAATGTTTATATTTCTGTTATAAACTTAAGTATGCTATACAAATGATGTTACAGATAGCAAGTGTTCAAACACAAAACAAAGCAATGGGAGCTAACATTGCCATTGCAGGAGCAATGGGTGCAACTGCTCAAACTATGGGCAGTATGAATAAATTGATGAATCCACATCAAATAGCTAAGGATATGGAAGCGTTCAAACAGGCCAGTGCTAAAATGGATATGACTGATGAAATGAGTAAGTTATAGTTTTTTTTTTATAGTATGACACCAAGACTTTTTTTAAATAATGGCAAGATGAAATAGCAATGGGCCGTTCATGTAACTTGGCAACCTGACAACTAATGGATAAAAACCTTCTCAAGTGTCTGCCTCGTACTGATAAGCAAAGCATATGGCGATTCCCTACTGAATAGAGTGACGACTTGGTAAGTTATGCAGTCAGTCCATGGTGGCATTTCTCAGGGGAGGTCTGGGGACTTGTGAAAGGCTGTAATGATAATGATGATGATGATGATGGGGGTGAGTGCTTATGTTGTTTCTTCAAAATAAATGTAGAATTTTTGCAAAATTGATCTTGTTGGAACTAGTTTCTAGCTGTCTATGTACCCTCAAGCTTACCTTGAGTTCTTATAACTAGCTATTACGAGGGGGCGTTTTTAAGTTCGTGGAATGGTTAAGTAGGTAATAAGTGGGACGTCGCTGAATTATGTGCTAATTGAGCAACTCATTATTAGTATAAATACTGGGTTTTATTGTAATTAGATCATTAGTCTTTGAGTTATCGTCAACTGAACAAGTCAATCGGGAAGAAATTGTGAAATATGGAGAAAATCGAGTTCCGTGCCGTTATAAAGTTACCAAGTGTGGAAAATCAGTTCAGACTATACTGGAATAGATGTCATCCGTTTACGTTTACTCTTGTCCAAGTAAAACTATGGTTTACAAGTGGCATACCCTTTTTAAACAAGGAAGAGAGTCACTTGAAGATGACCCACGGCCAGGAAGGCCTATCGAGGTGGCCACTTCAGAAATTATTAAAAAAGTCGAAAAATTAACATTAGAAGCCCGCCTAAAGAAAAAACAGCTCACAGAAATAGTTGGAGCATCAGATACAACCATTTTAAAAATTTTCATGACCATCTTTGCATGACTAAAGTCAGCGCAGCCTAGAATGTTCACGCCGCCCCAAAAGCAACAGCGCGTGGAGTGTTCTCGTGCATTTTTAGACCTCTGTATGGAAGACAAAGATGGTGTGTTGGCTCGAATTGTTACTGGTGACGAAATTTGGGTTAACCATTATGAATCTGAGTCCAAAGAGGACTCTATGCAATGGCACAAAAAAGGCACACCACCACCCAAGAAATTTAAGGTGGCACAATCGGCTGGGAAAATCTCAGAAAGATTAATTATAAAGATAAAGGTGTCTCCATAACTGGAAATTACTACGCTTCAATCCTAGAACATTTGAAGGAAGCCATAAAGGAGAAAAGAAGAGGAAAATTGACCAAAGGAATCCTTCTTCTGCACGACAACTGTTCACAAGTGCCATGTTGCAATGGCTGCCCTGCAGAAGGTGGGCTTCGAAATTTTGCCACACCCACCCTATAGTCCTGACCTCGCCCCCAGTGATTATTATCTATTTCCAAACTTAAAAAAAGAACTTTGTGGGAAAAAGTTTTTAATTGATGAAGAAGTGAAGAAAGCAGTTTCGGCGTGTCTTTTAGACAAAGACAAATAATTTTTTTGAGGGTATACATAAGTTAATTCAAGATCCGAAAAATGTATTAGGGTAGCAGGTGAATATATTGAAAAGGAAAAATAAATTTGGATTTTTATTTCCACTCCTTATACCCCATTCCGCAAACTTAAAAACGCACCCTTGTACTTGCTTATTTAGTAGTAAACTTTTCCAGTGGACTTTATGAACTGATGACGATCATGATGGCGACTTGTACATAAAAAAAAATAAAATAAAATAAAATAATTTATTTTTCTTCACAAAACTTAAATTAATTAGATAGTTGATTGGGGTCTCCATTTAAGCAAGTAATGCTTGTGTTTGGAAACCCCGCTCTTCCTTATCTAAACATACATTTTAATTCTCAAAACCAAAAATGACAAACCAATTACTCTATTTTAACAAACCAAAAATAACAAAAACTAATTTAATTTTAAAAATCAAAAATTTAAAAATTTAAAAATTAAAAAGTACAAAAGTATATGTGTGCATGTATGCAAGTGTGTGTGTGTGTGTGTGTGAGTGTGTGTGTGTGTGTGCGCGCGTGTGTGTGTGCGTGTGTGTGTTTGTGTGAGTGTGTGTGTGTATGTACGTTTGTGCACGTGCGTGTGAATGTGTGTGTGTGTGTGTGTGTGTGTGTGTGTGTGTGTGTGTGTGTGTGTGTGTGTGTGTGTGTGTGTGTGTGTGTGTGTGTGTGTGTGTGTGTGTGTGTGTGTGTGTGTGTGTGTGTAGAGAAAGTATTATTATGTTATATATCGTAAAGAACAGTGAATTATGAAATGCGTTCCATTAGAAATTCAGTTTCGTCATATGTTTTCGACTGCACCCATTTTAGTATAAGGTTTTTACACTCCTTGTATGTTTTGTCATATATGTTTAATTCCCTATTTATTAAATTATATAGGAATGTAGAACGGGAGCTAAATTGCCTACTAGCAAACACTGTTTTGAAACCAGAAGACACAGCTACAACATCTTTTCGCCGCTTTTCCAAGATGCATCGGTCAAAAGGCACGGATTTGTGTGCTTTGAGCGTTGTCATAGTAACGTATAATTGTCTAACTGAGAGTAGACCACTTACTTGATACAGTTTTTCAGTGGAAAAACGTCTTTTTTTAAAATACATGACCTTAAGAAGGATTCGCTGAGCTCTTTCCAAGTTAAGAAATTGGGTCTTTGTAGCTCCACCCCACACCGGAATGCAATAAGTTATGATAGATTGTGCAAGGGATATGTATATTTGGTTTAGGAGATATCTGGGAGAGTCCGACTGTTTAGTATTATCTGGTATTACGTGTCTTAGGGTTTTGAATATCCAAATCAATTTTCGAGTTCTACTGATGACATGTTCCAGGTGTGGGTACCACGATAGCCTCTGATCTACAATGACGCCGAGATATTTAGTGTGAGAGACTTTTTCAATTGATGGGCAGTCACAAGCTTTGTTTTTAGCATCCTCATTACATGCATGAATTTTAAGGCAAAAGTCAGTCTGTGGTTGCGAGTTGTTAGTAATGCTAAAGCAAATAAAATTTGTCTTAGCTGTATTTAGAGTGAGAAGATTTTGTTGCAACCACAGAGCGACTCTAGCTAGACCACATTCAGCACTAGTCTTGACAACCTCCCAAGATTCACCAGCAAAAACCACAGCCGTGTCATCGGCGTACGACAGGATTTTAGCATTTGGTATGGTCATACTGCATAGGTCGTTGATATAAATTAAAAATAAGGTTGGTCCCAGAACGCTACCCTGTGGTACACCATATGATGAGACTCCCGCATCCTCACTAGTGAACCCAGGAAGCTTTACCTTTTGTTTTCTCTCTGACAGGTAGCTTTCGAAAAGAGCAAGCGGGGTCCCTCTTATTCCAACTTTTTCAAGCTTGTGCACAAGCATAGGGACAGAGATGGTATCGAATGCTTTCTTCAGATCAAGGAAAACTGACAAACATTTTTTACTGTGGTCGAGTTGTTCTGTTACAAATGCGCTTAATTCAAGAATTGCATCTTCTGTCGATCTTCCTTGTCTGAAGCCAAACTGTGTGGGTGCTAATATATCAAATTTATTTAAGTAGTTGAGTAATCTAATATTAAGTAACTTTTCTAGAATTTTAGATATTGCTGGTAGAACGGAAATTGGTCTATAATTATTAATGTCATTTCTGTCCCCGCCTTTGTGCACAGGTGTAATAATAGACTGCTTTAATGGTGCAGGGAATATTCCTGTATCGAAACATAGATTAGTTAAATGGGAAATAATAGGAGCCAAGTCATTGACTGCCAATTTTAAGAATTCATTGGGGATATTGTCCCAGCCTGGAGCGCTGTTTGATTTTAAGTTTAAAATTATATTTTTAACTTCGTCTATGTCCGTATATAGTAAAACATGTAGTACATATTATGTTTTAATTATTTATATTTTACTCCCGATTTTTAATTAATTTGTTATACCATATTGTTAAATTTGTGAACAGGGGAATAAAATAACTTCTCTTTAAGTACTGACATGCACTAGAAACTCGCTGTTCGATAGACAAGGCCCATGCAACCAACTAGCAGTGGAAAATCCATCCAAAACACCCAAATTTCATAGACTGACACTCAAACATGATTTAACCGACCTGCTTGCCTAGTGTGATGAATAATTGTAAGCAAATCTATAGAATAAATTATGGCTGATGGTGTACAGTGTAGTGGCAGTGTAAGAATATCCACAACCTAATATTGTCCCGTGGGTGTTGTAAAAGACGACAGAGGGAAACACCAGGAAATGGATAGCAGTGCTTTCCTAATAACAGCTAGAAAATAAAAAACTGTCTAGTGTGGCAACTATGGCAAGACCCTCTTATGGGGTAATCTAAAGCGAAGCCTATGTTCAGTAGTTGACTTTTATAGCTTAATAGATAGATAAATGGTCCATTGTTGGAAATAAAAAAAGTAGAATAATTTGCCAGCATCTATATTTCCATCTGATTACAATATATGTAAGTGTTTTCAAAGCAAGAGTGTGTTACCATCTTCAGCTAAATTACCACTTTTTTCTTTTAATATAAGCTTTACCCTCCACACTAGGATTTTTCCTGTGTCGTGCAGTTTAAATACATAAATTTCATAAGGACGAACATCCAGATCCGGAACAATTATTTGTAGGCCATAGAAATGCTTGTTCCGTACGGGATTCGAGTCCGCGGCTTTTAGCGCTGCAACTCATTGCTAAGCCACTGCGCCACGCAGCCGTCAAAACTGAACATTAAGGTGGCACAAGTCGCGGGCTCGAACTCGCTGGTGGGCGCGACCAAAAAGCACGCTGTCTCACCTGGCATCGTGCCCGACAGAGATAGTATCAGTGATGAGCATATCGACACTAGTATTCACGCACGTCTTGTTCGTACGGCATTCGTAACCGTTTGAACAAAAACGAAGTTACACGAACACGATGCAACATCTATACTAATATAATAAAGCAGAAAATATAGATGTTTACTCCGTGTAAAAAAAGTCCGCGATACCATATCTCTATTTTTTATATATAAGCTACAATTAGGCATTTTGATTTTGACAAAAAAAAATGAAAATTTAATTATTAGGCATGGCATATTTATCCTTACGAACGAAAGTTACTTCATTATCAAGACAATTTTTTGAAGATAAAGTTTGTTCTTTATACCATGTTTATATAGTACATAGTTTAAGAGATAATGTAAAATTAAAATAATTCAATACTTGGCCTTGACGCGCAAACAACGCATAACCCCTAGCCCGGTGCGAACTGAGAAGCCAGTATTGAAAGCTTCTATGAGCGAGGTTAGGTTAGCCGTTAGTTCAATCATTATCTATATCTACACAAATAAATAAAATTGAAGTGTCTGTTTGTAATGTCAAAATAACAGGTTTTTACTAATTGCATATGAAATTATATACGCTACTTATAACATTAACACAATTTTTAACATTTTTGTATGTCTGTCAGTCTGTTTGTTCCGGTTAATTTCCAAAACGGCTGGACCGATTTTGAAGGGACTTTCACTAGTAGATAGTTCATGTTATAAGAAGTAACTTAGACTGCTTAAATTTTAGAAAAATTATTAGGTGTCCGTGCAACAAAATTAACACCCTAAACTAAATGCGGACGAAGTCGCGGGGAACAGCTGGTAGCTAAAATAAATTCAAAATTAACTGAGTGCTTTTATCTATCTCCCAGGTGAGCGTAACAATGATTAGTTACATCTTTATTTCTGAACTCTTTCATTTCACGTTGCTATGGTATTTTGAAAGTTTAATTGATTAATAAGTATAAGAGGTTGATAGCAAATTTATCAAGAATCATTTCTTGCCCACACACTTTCATGTATCGTGTACGTTTTTCTTTAAAACTGGATAAAACCGCGCATAGTATGCCGACAGATAAAATAAAAGTACTCCATTAATCATGACAATTTTTCCATACATTATTATCAAATAAAATATTTGATTGCAATTATAAAATGCTTGAACTAGGTGTCATGTCATGCCACGCATCTCGGACACGTGATGACGCGGGTGAAACCGCGAAATTATTAGGCGCTGCTTTATCGCTTCATATTATACCTCTGTGGCTCTATATACCTAATATAGATTGCTTACTTTATTATGTTTAGTTTTTCCCGAGTGGTCATGCAGCGATCACTCAAGAGTTCGGCTTCGAACGTGTGTAACTGCAAAAATTATCCAACGGGAACGAAATACCTGAATAAACGGTATCATATATGTTATTTACAGCTCCGTGGCGCAGTTGCTTAGCAATGAATTGTTGCACTGGGAGCCGCGGGTTCGAATCCCGCACGGAACAAGTATTTGTATGGCCTGCAAATAGTTGTTCCGGGTCTGGATGTTTGTAAACTGCCTCCACGATACAGGAGAAAATCCTAGTGCTTTTTTTAAAAAATAAAAAAAAATAAAATTCCAGACTATAACCTATCTCTGAGCAAAATATCATCCAGGTCCCTTCAACGGTTCTGGTGTGATTGAGTAAAATACATCCATTCATCCGTCCATCCAAATATCCAAACTTTCGCATTTATAATATTTAGATAATAATTGTAATTAGTTCTGCCTACTTATAAATTGTTTTCAAAAATACTTACTTGTATTCTTACTTTTTTATATATATTCAATAACACTAAACGTAAACACAGGTTTTTATCAAGACAAGTGACCCATCAAGATTGTTTTCTTAGTACTGACGTACCTACCTAAAGTTTACAATTTTGTGGCCACGACGCGGTGACGTTTGGTGACATTTTGTTGTATTGTAGGTTGTAGGTATCTAGGTAATAACAGTAGTTACCTATGAAAATCCCACTTAATATACCTTGTTTGTCCGCCACAAGAGTCGTCTAATAAATAATTAAACTGTTTTGTAATTCTTTATTTATTTATAACACTTGCATTGAGAGCCGTGGTAGCTCAGATGGTTAGCGCTCGCCGTAAGTATCACATTATGCGAGCAACCCGGGTTCGATCCCCGTCGGCACCAATGAAATTGTTGCAATTTTATATAGTAATCGTATATAGACTTTACTTTGTTTACTTCTATAATTATATTATATTACAGACGAAAATTTTACTATATTGTCTGTCGTCCAAAACGCATCATCTCTTTCAATTATATCAATTTCCATGCTGTCTTTTGTCTTTGGCGTCCAAATTACAAAATAGTAAAACTTTTCGTTTCGAATAAAACTCGAATAAGCGCGCGTCACCGCCCGTGCACGTGTGTGTAAGCGTCGTCCTCCCGCACCGCACCGGGGGAAACATTATTCAGTGAGATGCACGATAATTCATAGTAACATACGCGCGTAAAAAAATCCGAAAAGGCCTTTGGAAGAAGGGGTTTTATGAAAAAACCACTGCATAAATCAATTACGAATAAAATTTATTGAATTCTTCAATAATTGAGCTGTGTCGGTACCGACTTTGTTTTGGAGATTTTACACTTCTTTTATTACTAAATTACGCCCAAAGTTGTGTTAAAATTGGCAATAAAAACGAATCTTTGATAGCCCGTAACTTTTTAATAACATTTTATTTTACTATTCTGTTTCCGTACAGACAAATTTAATAATGAGACAAAACGATATCATGTTTAACTTTGGATGTACACTGTCAAACAGCGTAGTAAAACCCCTCCGAAATTTGTATGGAAATATTGTCGACTAGTGTCACCTTAAGTTGGATAATAGTTAAGCACTGGCATATAAAAAACCTCATGTATTTATGACTTAAAAAGTTTAATTGGTATATTATATATATTATGCTCTTACACAAAAACTGTATGAATACATTTGTTATTTTAAAACTTGATGTGAAATTTATGTTAACTTATTTTTCATTTTATGGTAATGACACAAATGATGTTGTCATTTCCATAGAATATATAATGGTTAATATACATATAAAATAATGTTTAACGCTACCTGGAATAAGATTTGAATTGCTTATGAGCTCTTTACAGTTTCAGATACACTGGATGACATTATGGATGAATCGGACGATGAGCAAGAAACTGAAGGGATTGTCAACAAAGTACTTGATGAGATTGGCATTGAAATTAGTGGAAAGGTAATTTTTCAAACTTCAAACTGTTAAATACCTTGAATAGGAACTGTGATTTATCTTAGCTTAATAACATTCCATGTATGTCAAGATCTTCTTCATAATTAATGTTAAGAAAATATAATTTATCCTGCATTACTTTAGTAAAGGTGCATTATATATCTACCTCATTACAACAACAAGAACTTAGTAAATCCAAGTATAATTATTTGTATTCCATACAAAGACTTGTCCCATGTGTAGAAGGAACTTCGTGGTCTGCCCAAACACTCTTAAATCGACATTCTTATTACTTTGACTGATAAGACTGTCATAAAAGGTTTGCAAACTGATTTTTACCCTTAGCTAATACAATTTTAATGAGAATAAAATAATGTGGCGGAAGGTGAATAATGTGAAACTTCGGGGTCTGTTATTAGATATGTGCGGTAGAAACACAGATAGACAGATGCATACGCTAGGTTTAAAAAAAAATGGTGAAATGCATGTCACATGAATTCCTGCCCATTCAATCGATTTGATTGATATCACATCAGAAAAAAATGTTTTTTTTTTGGCAAGATTAGTAACCTGTGATGACAAATAGTTATTTATCAAAAGTATTAAATTGTATGCAAATCTAATACAAAAATACAAAGCTAATGTAAAAATATATTAACGATATGGTGGAATTTTAAAGGAATAATTAGTTGGTGATTCCAACTAAATGCAACATTGAATATTAACCATCCAGTCTTATATAATCGTGAAGGTACTAAAGGTATCATATACCACCATAATAAACCCACTGACAGCTTAAGCCATTTTATAACAAAACAGGGTTTATTATTAGGGTCGGTTTTAAACTATAGTATAGGTAGAGTCTTTCTGACGAAAGAAGTCGCGGCACCACAGTCTTCGCATTTTGTTTAAGAATACTAGCAATACTATTAACATTACTAATATTCTCTTTAACTACTCCTGGTAAGCTTAAAATGCTTGTGTTAGAAGTCGTTCACGACAGTAGTCGAATGGCGTATTCAAACCCACGATCTTTTGGAGTTTGCAGTCCGCACCCTGCCATTAGTCTACTGTCGCTTCATATTAGACATTTACTGTCAAATTCCATACTTTACACGATTAGATCATGTAATTAACTATCTAGACATTATCCATCTTATTACAATACGCGGTTGATTGAAAATCTCGGGCTTAAACTATAGTTTTAGAATAGTCTTTTTCTAATTAGAAATATTTTGTAATTAGAAAGATTAAATTTAGGTTTACTTGATTTGTTTCTATACTTATATACACCACTATTGACAGTGCCAGAATTTTAATTTAGTTTGTATATAACTACCAATTATTATATTAGGGCTAGGGCCAATTTTTAAATCGTCAGATGACAGTTATCAATCGAATAAATTATAACTTGACTGAATACAGAAGGGAAACAATTGAACTATTTTATTTATGCAACTGTAATTTTCAATTTATTTCATCCTATAAATAAATTTTAACTAAGGATTGAAAAAATCAGCCCTTAGTGTAATGTTTTTTTTTTAAATTGATACAGAAAATAAATAAAACGAAAGCTAATTTATTTATTTTCTGTATGAATAAGCAACACCTTTCAAATTCATACATTTATCACTAAAATAACGATCAAAAAATAATCTTTCTTTTTGTTATATAAAATATATTTATCGATTTCAGATGGCCAACGCCCCTTCAATATCTCGCAACAAAATCGGCGAGTCTACTGCAGATGCAGACAAGGAACTAATGGCACAGCTGGCTAAACTCAAGTCATAGTTTGCATACTTCATTTCTAATAAAAAATATATAATATAAGGTTGGGGAAAAAGTTTTTTGTATTTTATATACAAATTCAAGACATTTTTTTTCATATATATTATGTACTATTTTGTGCTATAACATGTTGCCATCTTGTTGTTAGTGACAATCCTGTTGCTGTAGAAATCTTGGGATTTTTGATCAAAATACGAATTATTTAGTACAAGTAGTTTTCAAAGTGAAGAATTTTTTAGGTAGTGTTAGGTTAACATCAAGAAAGGACTGTTCTTGATGTTAACTTAACACTACCTAAAAAATTCTTCACTTTTTAAAAAATGGCATCGACTTTATCCGTATGAGGACGACCAGAGCGACCTGCATCTTTGACATCAAAATTCCCGGACTGAAAACGCTTGAACCAACTTTGTGCTACTATTACTGACACTAAATTAGGTTTATAAACAGCGGCTTGAGTCGCATTTTTCCCTTTTTTGAAATAAAACTAGAATGTATCGAATTTCTTCGTTAGATTCACTCATTTTGGCGGGCAGAAAAACAATGGAAAAATGTCGGGAAAGTGCTTTTTACTTTTTATTTTTCCTTTTCCTAATGTGCTACATGTCCTATAAAACCAGCCAGATACAAACAGTACAACCAAAGAGTTTTTTCTTTAATTTTATACAAACAAAATATGAAGAAACTTTTTCCCCAACCTATTATATGTGTTGTTATATACTGCTAAGTAATAAAACTGTGTTAATAAAATGCCTACAAACTCAGTAGGTGCTGGTTAGTCTATATAGTTAAAGTAAGAATGATGGCATTGCAGCTTCGAATCATATAATATAATTTGACATATTTCATTGTCTTTATATACGTCCAATGATTGTTAACTGTGAATGTGTTTTTTTTTATCAATAATATGTAAGTGATAGAAGTTTATCTTTTACTTATTATGAGGTAGTGTTTGGCCGCAATGCCACCTGGTGGTAAGTGGTGATGTAGTCCTAGATTGTAAATCGCACTGTCTTAGAGTAATGGATAAAAAACTAATCTTTAATCATAAAGCTCAGAGTTGTTAATATGTTGGCAGTTGCTATAAAAATGTTATTTTATTATTTAATGACAGAAAAAGGTTATTTTTCTATACTAAAATCAGTTTGCTGTGAAATTTTAATCAGATTTTTTTATACAAAAGTTTTGGTATTTGTATCTTCATTTTACTTTATTTAATTTTTTAATACATATGTAAAAAGAAATATCTGTGATATATTCGTATCAAAAATATATGTATTAGTCTATTTATAAATATAAATTGTTTTATTATATACCTTTGATATTTTTTATTCATCATCATTACAAGCCAGCGTCGATTCGTAATAGCAGCAGCGAATGTGTGGATTACATATCATTTGATATTGACAGTCCGATTTCATGTTGTGATTGAGGTCCTTAGGCAACGGATAAGTTTTTAATAGAATTAGGGTGACAAACGAGCATACAGTCCACCTGATGGTAAGTGGTTGCAGTGGCACATAGACATCTACATCTATCCTCGCTTGCGAATTAAAATGCAGATGCGTTGTCACCCGTGAGGACTAAGATGGAATGCCTCATTTCCAGTAAAAAGGGCCTCCGGCCACCTACACAAAAAGTTGGGGGCCCAAATAATTTTTCGGCTCGAATAATTAGTTTTTTTTTACAATGTTCATAATATATTACTTAAGGCTTTCTAGTGCAGGTCGTTTTCAAATCCTTTTTGGAACGAAGTTCTTTATCGGATGGCGATGTTTTTGGTTTGGTTGGCGGATGGGCGGATGGGAGCTAGGCGACAAAAGTTGTAAGATTTTTTCATCACTACCCCTTGTGTCATAGTGTAGGCGGCCCATTAAGTTATCTGTAACTTCATTAGACGGTCTTGGCGGCACTTTTTCTTATCTTGCCATGAAAGAAATATTATTTCAAATGACGCTTCATTTTAATAGACGCTAGTAATTCATTTATTCGTATTTGTTAATCAATAATATAATACCTACGTTTATCAATAATAATATACTACGCAAGGAACTTCGTTCCAACCGAGTGTTCCACGACACTCACGCATTTTTTTTATTTTTAAAAACCTATAATAAATATAATCATCATTGTAGGGTCATTGTAGAAGCGTGCTCGTCGCGACCCCTGCCAGCCCTTTTCAGGGCTGCAATTCTACTCAGCTGCGCACCCATGTCAACGAGGGTTAGGGCGTCCCCCCAAGGCGACGCACACCAGCTCGTCCCCGTTGGTGTGGAATGCAGCGCGCAAAGCGGCGATGGGGACCGCCACCCGTCACGCACAGCCCGACACGGCGGAAGGTGGAGGACGGAGTGCAGAGTTGGCACGTGGAATGTTAGAGGAGGCATGAGAGATAAGACGAATGAGTTGATCGAAATAATGAAAGAAAGAGAATTAGATGTCGTGTGTATGTCGGAGACCAAACGGAAGGGCAGTGGTACTGAAGAGCTCCCTGGCGGGGCGTTAGCTCTATGGTCCGGAGTCCCGGAGAGCGAGAACGCCTGCCAGGGAGTGGGGGTGCTGCTGTCTTCTCGGTTGGTCGATGTTATGACTGAATATAAGTTTGTGAACTCAAGACTTCTCTGGGTTCGCTTTAAATTGGGACTGACGAAGTTATTCCTTTTGGCTGTTTATGCGCCGGTGGCTTCGTCGTCCAGGGCTGAGCTGGAGGAGTTTTGGGAGAATGTAAGAGAAGTTCTAGATTTGGCTAGGGGAAACGAAAGGATTGTTGTATGTGGTGATTTGAATGGATGGGTTGGTACCGCTCGACCAGGGTACGAGTCGGTACTTGGAAAGTTTGGCGATAAAAGGGTTAATGATGCTGGCAAGCTTATACTGGCGGTATGCAAGGAAAAGGGTCTTCTTGTGACAAACACTATGTTTAATCACAAGAAAATCCATATGTATACTAGAGAAAGAAAGAATGAGAGAAGTATGATCGATTTGTTCCTGGTGGATGACCGACTGCGAAAACAGGTTATGGATACGCGAGTGTTCAGGGGTGTTGACCTGGGAACGGATCACTATCTAGTGATTACTAGATTTAGGGGTCTGTTCGCGGGTTGGCGCTACCGGACGACAGTGACAGAACCACAGTCGGTCTGTCGCATCCGAAGCTGGAAGCTTCAGGAAGCGGATACTAGGGACAAATATCATGCGAGGGTAGCCGAAAAGCTTGACACCATCGATGGCAGAAACGAATGTGTAGAAAGAACATGGCAGAACCTTAGGGATGGAATGGTAAGTGCAGCGGAAGAAGTGTGTGGAACAATAAAAAGAGGCAGTAGTAAAAGAAGAGATGCATGGTGGAATGATGAAGTGAAAGAAGCTGTAAAGAAGAAGAAGAAAGCATGGTTAGACTACTTGGCCTCTAGTAATGATAAGGATATGAGAGAGAAGATGAAAGAAAGATATAAGCTGCAGAAAGTTCACACGAAAGCATTGATTGAGGAAGTGCGTGAAAGGTGTAGAATGGAAGCGGATGAAAGGTTGTCGCACAACTTTAAAGAGAACTCCAAACTCTTCTGGAAAGAGGTTGGAAGGACCCGAAGTGGTGCGACGGCCTTAAGAATGAACAAAGTGCTTTCGAGAACTAATGACGTCCTCTCAGAAAAATCGGACGTCATGCAGCGATGGAGCGAATTTTATAGAGAAATGTATGCGTGTGATGATCTTAGTGAGGGATCCGGGGATGACGCCGTGACTAGCACGCCAGACCCGGACCTCGATGACACTGAGGTCATCAGTATGAAAGAGATTGAACGTGCGATTCGAAGTTTGAAATGTGGTAAGGCTGCGGGACTAGACAGAGTTACTGCTGAAATGGTCAAGTATGGTGGGCCTCGCGTCTGGGACAGCTTTCATCTGCTGTGCAATTTGTGCTGGCGGACGGGGGATGTCCCGGATGATTGGCGATCCGCAGTCATTGTGCCTTTATATAAAGGTAAAGGTTCACATTTTGACTGCGGGTGCTATCGGGCGATCAGCTTGACCAGTTTAGCAAGTAAAGTTTACTCGAAGGTTTTGACACGTAGGATGCAAGAAAAATCGGAAAGATTTCTATGGGAGGCACAATGCGGATTTAGACCTGGAAGAGGATGCACGGATCAAATGTTTTCTCTCCGTATGATCACGGAAAAGCTTCTGGCTGTTAACCAGAAGATTTTCTGTGCTTTTGTGGATCTTGAGAAAGCATTTGATAAGGTTGTAAGGAAGAAAATGTGGGAACTGTTGCCGGGGTATGGTGTGGATGGCCGATTGCTAAGGGCTGTACAGTCTCTTTACTGTGACTGTAAAGCCTGTGTGCGGGTAGGGCATGACCTGTCACCCATGTTTAGCGTCCAAACGGGCGTAAAACAGGGTTGTGTCATGTCTTCCTGGCTGTTCATACTGTATCTCGACAGCTGTTTACAAAAGCTGAAAGATAGCTGTTTGGGTGTGAAATTGGGTGACATAAAAGTAAATTGTCTGCTGTATGCTGATGATGCAGTGCTTATTGCACCATCAGAGGCAGAACTGCAGGCATTAGTCACGTGTATGAAAGAGGAATGTGAAATTAAAGGTCTCCGTTTGAATGCTAATAAAACTAAGGTTCTGGTATTTGAAAGGGACGAAGAGAGAACGAAGTGTGAAATATGGGTAAATCAGGAATGTCTAGAACAGGTAAATGAAATTGTATACTTGGGGAGTGCTTTTAGCCGGGATGGAAGATGTGATTTAGATGTGGACAGGCGTGTCGCTGCCGGGAATAAAGTCAATGGTGCCCTGACTGCGTTAGTCAAAAGGCAAGGCGTAGCGAAGAGTGCACGCCTTGCAATACATAACGCAGTGTTGGTACCGACTTTGTTATATGGCAGCGAAACCTGGGTATGCCAGAAGAAGCATAAAAGTAAGTTGAATGCAGTGGAGATGCGATCTCTTCGTAAAATGTGCGGCGTTACTATGGCCGACCGAAAGCGAAACGA